GGGCAGGTGGTTTTAATGTTGTGGCTGATCAGTATGTAAATAAAGTGATATAATTCCTAAATGGACGAGATTTATCTATACACCAAAACGGTGCCATTTAGCTAAAGTTGTTTTGGTGACTATAGTGTCCCTTTAATGTAAAATATGTTCGCAATGGTCACTTCAATCTCCAGTGTCTCCAGCAGGTAGAGCTCCATTAAGACATCCCTTTAACTGTTAGTTACATTTCCCAGAGAATTAGGTTTAAAGCATGGCACTCGAAAGGTTAAGGTCAGCATGTTAGATACAATCAGTCTTACAGAAAGACCATGGACAAGGACGAAGTGAAAAAAAAACAAAACAAAAAAAACGTAAGGATCAAAGCAGCAAACAATTTACAAGCTTGATGTTTTCAACCACTAAAGTACGCTTTAATTGAATATGCATATTTAGTTAGCTCAGGCTTCCTCAAACTCCGGCCCCTCCAGATGTTGCTGAACTACAACTCCCATGATTCTCAGCCTACCTATTTCATTCATAGAATCATGGGAGTTGTAGTTCAGCAACATCTGGAGGGCCGGAGTTTGGGGAAGCCTGAATTAGCTTAACAGTAAACTACAATGTTCATTACAGTTAATAATCGCCGTGTTTAGTGGGAAAGGAACTCACAAGTTTTATTTTAGCTGCATCTGGACCCTAACGGGTTAATAATGAAATTATTTGTTTTCAGCAGCAAGAATGAGAATGTTTTACACGTGCTTTCTGGCAGAAACAGCACCACCTAGTGGTCTTATTTATAAACATTATGCAGAATATGTCTGTGTACATATATTATTTCCGGCAAGCTCCTAAGTGAAACACAGAGTGCAGTAAGAATTCTCACGAGATCTGCTACCAAATAAAAACATTTTACAATTGGCAAAACCATATGACTTGTGAACTGCATTGTAAGATGACACCAATGGAGACAAGATGCAGCCTCCACACACATCTCAATAGACAACTTGTACTTCCAGGAAATAATGCAAACAAGGCCCATAAAGAGGTGCTGCACAGATCCTCTCCCAGATCCACCAGAAAATGAAAAAAAGTAAGGATTCCTTACAAAAAAAAAAAGTCTCACAGGAATATCTTCCTACATCCGTCAACACCTGTATTACAAGTGAATATAACAATTATAGCTCTATCACACTAGTAAATATGTAAAACGTCTGTCACTTTGTTAACTGCTTGTGGAATAATATTTAAAAAAAAAAAAAAACTATCAAAAGCTTCCTTTGAGGAGGAAATGTGTGCGTTCAGTTCTATAAATAAGAGTTCTGCACCTTTCCCCCAGCTGGGGAGGGAGCAAATCCAATTTTACCACATGACAGGAGGCTTCATATTTGCATATCTTTCTTTACTGAAAACTCCAGCAGCATAGAAACATAACAACCAATCAGAAAAAAGTTATGATGCCCATAAAAGGCCCTGTCTATGACATCACTTCCTCTTTCTTTGCTGCTCCAGCCATACAAAGGTCAGAGTATTTTACCTCTCTGGTAGATTCTTAATTTACACTGTTTTTTGATTGTCATACCACTATATATTACTCTATTTATTGCTAACACCTGCTACCTTGGCCCCCCTTATTCCTGTCCCTTCACTGTATCCCTCTGTTTTTTTTTCCCCCCCTTTTTATTTCCACCTTACTGCCTGGTATCCGCAGGGGACTGTATGGGGACGGGTGGAGGGAGGCTCGGGTCAGCGTTTGTGTTGCATTTATCCCCTTTGTTTTGCACCGCCCGACCGCGATCCGCGGCGCACCTTCACATGTGGGCGGCGGCCATCTTGGATCTGGCGGCTCGCGAGATACCCGACGGCCGCCTTCCCTGCTCGCTCGGCGGATCGGGAACTCACCCGACCGCCGGGCTCCACGGTGTATGCTCTCCCAAGTGAACAATGGGAGAGTGCAAGCTGGATTTCAGTTTTTTTCTCCATGTATTCTTTCAATGTATTTTGCCACAGTGCCTGCCAACAGTGTCTGCCAAACAAATACTTACATGCAGGCATTAAAGGAGATTATGTCTTTGTACCTTACTCAGGGTCTATACCCTATACAGGGTCATACCATATTACTAAACCCTGCACAGGGTCATACTATATTACTATATCCTACAGGAATCACCCGATCACCGCGCCCTGCATCTGGATTAACCCCTTCAGGGGTCCCCCTCTCTGGGCACATTCATTTATTGATACAATTATTATTTTTTATTCTCATGGATATATCTCTCATGGTGCCTTACACTGGATGATTATATGTTGAGCAGGCACACAATCTATGTATTATTGTGAAGCCATACAATATCACAGTCGTTATACAAAACATATACTGTACCTATAACAAGATCAACTATATCACTGTACCCTACGAAGGGCATATTGTGTTACTGTACCCTACAAAGGGCATATTATATTATTGTACCCTACAAAGGGTCATATTATATTACTGTACCTGACGGTGCAAATTTATGTGGGTGTCCTCTGGGTATTTTTTCATGGCACATCACCTGGGGTGACCCCCCAGATATGCATGCAAAGTCACTGACAGACCATTACCTTTGATGTGGGTGTCCTCTGGGTTACCATGGCACACCACCCGGGGTGAACCCCGATCATATGCACGGAGGCCTACGCCGCAACTTTACCACTGATTACTACAGACATATATGGATGTTTAAACACTGCCTGTCAGTTTTACATTAAAGCAACAGTACCATGCCGGATGCGATTTGACGGCAGGATCACTAAGAAAACTGAGTGTATTGCGGTGTACCCTTCACAGGGATACATATATGTATATTTACTGTGCCTAGTGTACATATTGAACGTGGGTGTCCTCTGTAATTTTTCATGGCACACCACCTGGGATGACCCCCAGATATGCATGCAATGCTTGTAAGGTGCCAATAATTATAATATGGGTGTCCTCTGGGTTACCATGGCACACCACCTGGGATGAACCCAGCCTAATAGACATGGGTCCTGCGGCCGCAGACCTTATGGAGACAGGCTCCATGTGCCTATATATAATAAGCCTGTATAGTTAAAAACCGTGCATACGGCTCTGGCGTACATTTGTGGTGAACCCGGCTAGCCAGACCGACACCACTACCAGTCAGTCGCGCCTGCACCACGGCTCTCAGTAGCCAGATTAAACTAATAGAGGTGACCCCTCTATACTTGGCACGAATATTCATACTCTCAGACATACTAAAGCAGGCAATTCAAACCGTTTTACATGGGTGATCCCCAGTTCTACCAGGAATCTAACACCCCTACGTGCTGACCCTCACACTATCTCCCAACAGGACGGGAACGAGTCATGGTGGACACTCTCAACGTTCCCAAGATTTCTAGGCAATGCTAAACGCCACAGTAACGGCCTCAGTGGAGAGGGTTCTGTTATGAACTCTACCCCACACCACACAAGCCTTCAAGTCAAAACGGCAAGGGAAGGGCTCCAGGCCCCCTGCCGCTAAGGTCAAGGGCAAGACGCCCATCGATCAGACCAAATAGGCGGAGCACAGGGAATCCAAACCTCGTTCGCCACAATCTTCCGACAAAGAAGACTATTACCCACCACGTACTTTGGACATGGTAGATGAGCGACACGAAGAAAGCTCACCGTCTGAGGAAATGGAACGGCAAGACCTTCCCCACACTTCTTCGAAGTACGTTAGGGAAACCTTACTCTGTGACGGCGGCTGAGGCAGAGATAACTGTAGCGGCACTAAACCAGAGTAGCCGAAGACGGAACATTCCTGGACGAACACTATTGGCTGCGCAACCCTCGGGGGATGGAAGGATGCGCACGCCTCAAGACCGAGTTACCCCAGGGTACACAACTCAACCCTACCACCTCCAAAGAATGGTCTCAATGCTCGATATGCCTCCTGGGCAACGTAAATGACGCACTATGCGCCGACAGACGCAAATCTGTACTGGGCCGCATCGACAACACACTATTGGACTTAGGAACGACAAGAATTCGGCCCAAAAGCACAAGGCCTACTATTCGACGTAGTGTTCATTGCAGTACTCAAGAAACACGTGAATTTATTCACCACACTAAATTAAACCCAGACCTCGCTAAAACAAGTCTTCCACAACCCTACGGGGAAAGGTGTTTCTGGGAGGACTGGTCGGTAGCTGAACCAAGCCACCAGCCGCTCCTGGGCGACAGGTTCCAGATCGTATACACAGTCTTCATATTTCTCCCATCTACTACACAAAGGAACCCATCCGCTTCATCTACTAGTGTGTCAACCTACATAACTAACTGTTTCCAATATTATGACCGGCAACCTGTCTCTGTTTTACAGAATTGGGAGACGACTACCAAAGTCACCTGGGTTCTCCAGACAGTACAAGGCTATGTCATAGAGTTTTATCACAGCCGTGCAGGTCGCCCCTTCACCTCCATTACGCACGCTGGCGGAACAGGAACGCCTCGTGGACAAGAAAATCTGCACCCTCTTCAGGAGGGGCGCAATTCAACATGCACCGGAGGGGAAGGCTTCCCCAGCAAATTTTTCCTGGTCAAGAAGAAGCCAGGAGACTACATCAATGGAACTCCTACATGGTATACAAATGCTGCAAGATGGAGGAAATTCGTCTTCTACAAGACCTCCTAGGCGATAACGACTGGTTTACACATCTGGACCTCAAGGACGCACGCTTGTCAGTACTGCCGAAGTTTTCCTCCGATTCCAATGGTGAGGACAAACACGGCAGTTTACGACTCCGTGGTGCTCGTGAACCTAGTGTAACCAGTGAGGGCACACATCCGTAAATTTGGGAGTGCGATGCCTCTTATACCTGGAAGACTTGCTGATTCTTTACGAATCCAGGCTACGTTTGCAGACAAATTTGTCGTTCACTTTCGGGACTCCATGTGTTTTTTGTTGTACACAGACAAAGATCGCTTCCCCATCTGAATCGGGCCAGTTCCTCGGTTTCGACATCAGCTTGGAGAACTACGTTCCGCGTCTGTCTACGGCAAAGAGCGCCTCTATAAGGATAGCTGCCGGATTGTGGGATTCCTCTCCTCTTCCCCTCCTCCATACAAGCGTTATTCCCTGGCCCACTACGACTGATGGTGAGATACGTACGCACCGGTCACTCATACGACCACTGGATCCCACTGTCAGCGGAAGTGAGGATGGAATTTCGGTGGTGATTACTTCACATACAAACTTGGATTGGCAAAACGACCTTTGACTCTTCCTTCGGATACAGGGCGATGGATGAACCCCTGCAAACGCGACCCAGCCGTTCTCCACAATAGCAAGGGTGCTTCGATACACACACACACCCACAAGATATCGCTCCTGCTCATGACACCCCTCGGGCAGGGCCAACCGTGATTTCCCGGATCGCCTGGAGATGTCTCGCAAAGACCCTCTACAACTCCCTACCTTCCCTCTACTTCTGACGGGACCTCGAGGGGAAGCCCACTCCCTTGTCATGGAAGGACAACTGGCACTAGTTGCCTGGACGGCTTCAGGGGCTCCTGGTCAGTTCACGACCTATTGCATCAACTAAGACCTCCTATGGGACTCATAGGCTCCCGGCACCAGGAAAGGCTATATTTCTGCCTGGTCGGCCTGGAGTGATTGGTGTGTGGAAAGGGATTCCGATCCCTTTACCGCACCTGTCCCACTGATCCTCAACTATCTGTCACACCTGGTCTCGTTGGGTCGGTCATATCGATCCCTCAACGTGATCAGATCTGCCATATCGGCGGCGCACGTTCCGGTACAGGGCAGACCAGTAGGTCAAGATACACTGGTTTGTCGACTACTGCGGGGTGCCGAATTGTCGAGATCCCTGCACCCAAATATTCACGCCTCTGGCAGGTGGATGTGGTGCTGAGATTCCTTAGGGAATGGCCGGACAATCCTTGTTTGTCACTGAAGCAACTTTCAGCCAAACTAGCCCTCTTATTATGCCTCGCCTCATTTAGACGGTGGCGGACGTTAGGGCTTGCGATATGGATGGTTTCTCTCTCACACCAGACGGGGTTACCTTTACCATGTCGAGACGAACTAAGTCTGATTTGTCTTCAGTGTCATACCCATGCTTTGTGTCAGACGCCACACTATGCGTGGTCAGAACGCTAATGGGGTACACCAATATCTCTACCCCCTTCGAACTCATTCGACGGATCACCTTCTGACTTCTTACGTGAACCCTCATGGACCGGTGTCTACCGCAACACTGGCCAGATGGGTCCGCTGGTTTTTGTCTTTAGCGTCGAACCTTGTTTCGGAGCCCACTCGGTCAGGGGAGCGGCGGCCTCACAAACCTTTTCGGCCGACGCTTCCCTAGCCGACATTATACGCTGCGCGGACTGAGCGCGAGAGAGTACGTTTAGAACATTCTATTTTCGGCAAACATCTCATGCTTCCTTCACATTGGTCAATTCAAAGCTTTAAAAATGCAAATATGAAGCCTCCTGTCATGTGGTAAAATTGAAGATTATATTAGCTTTAGTGTACTAATAATCTTAATTTTAGTAATGACAGGAGGCGAATATTTCCCACCCTATATGATCCCTCCCATGTTTCTCGTGTTGAACAAAATATGTCCTTTATGTTCAGGAAGGTAAGTACGTATGGTTTGTATGTTTGCTACTTAGACCTGTACCTTGCGGGTCTTGTATTGGCTGAATATTAGACATGAACCTTGCATTATGTTGTGTTTATAGATCCTTAAATATCATTGCGTTAGAATAAATATATATTGATATGTTTCACATTCTAATGTTCGTTGGTATATCAGATGCTTATGCTTATTGTATGCGGACAAGTTATCACGCCAGATACCTTTCACCTTTTTCTTTTTCTTGCAGCGTGAACGTCTTCTCATCGAGACAAAGATTCACCTTCCATACCTCTGCATCGCGGAACTAATGGAGTTGGATATTCTAATATGTTGTTGAACTAATGACGTAATATGATTATGTCTCTTGTTGTTATTTATTGTTTCGCTTCAAAGAAAGAGGAAGTGATGTCATAGACAGGGCCTTTTATGGGCATCATAACTTTTCTGATTGGTTGTTATGTCTCGTTGCTGCTGGAGTTTTCAGTAAAGAAAGATATGCAAATATTCGCCTCCTTTCATTACTAAAATTAAGATTATTAGTACACTAAAGCTAATATAATCTTCAATTCTGGCACGTACCTGTTATAATGGGATTTGGCCAGAATGATGAGCCCAGTATTACACACACACACACATTCGTATTTATAGATCATTCACATTTTCTGCAGAACTTTGCAATTAACAACTGACAGAAAAATGACGTTGACAGACAAGTGAAGGCATTGCACTAACAAGTTTACAATCTATGAATTCCTCTGAGATTACATAATGTGCAGAAATCTCCCCCCCAACCCCATGATGTGACTATATAGATCATATTATAGCTTCCCATGTAGTTTTATTTAATCTTTTTTCACTCTTCAGTAATTTTGTTAATTCCATATTAAGCTATATGCATTTTAAAACATAACCACACAGTAACTACAATGCCAACTTGTGCTAGAATTTACAGCCAATAATAACCAAGGTAAACAAAAAAAAATAATCCATTTACACATTCGCATCATTCTTGCATTTGATTGCCCTCTGGAGACAAGATAGGAATGAGTTACCTACCATGCTATATAAACGTGTCGTTTTTTACCACTGTGCCATAAATTGACTTATCTGGCAAACAGTTCAAAAGATAGACATATCTCAGGTAAGTCTGTAAATAAATAGTGACGATTATCAACCAATGATGATGGTTTAAAAAAAAACAAAAAAAACACACCTCTCACACCGAGGTCCGACTTGATCCAAAACAGTCTGGGAAACCATGTTTTTAGATATTTGATCTAGCTGATCATTTCTCAATGAACTGTAACATGTTTTGTATGGAAGCACATTGTGCTTGACAAAATATTAGAAATAAAATGATCAACCAGGTAATTTGTGTTTCAATTTTCAGAAAAAGCCTGAAACGAGGCAAAACATTTTTTGATCAAAATGGATAAGAATTAAGGGGGCAAAAATTATGTAGTCTCTAACTACAAAGACTGCAAATTAAAATTTTAGCAAACTACACTTTACTAAGAAAAAAAAAGAAAGCCAAAGTGAAAAACATTTACACAACTATCCAGACAAAACTACAAAAGTAAAAAAAAAAATCATGAGTGTTGTATGTTACATGTAATGCCTCCTTTCTTTTAATTAAAACAAAATATTTACTGCAAAGATATATACTCTACAAATCATGTAAATGCACAAACCAATAAAGAATAATTTATAATATAATATAACATACTGTATCTGCAAGGACAGCACTGGGACATACATGTTCCAGTGCTGCCTAATATTAGTGGGGGTTACAGTCATCATTAAACAGTGGTAAGTACTGCTCAGGAGTACAATTCCCAAACTTGGCAGATTGGGACATGTATGTCCCTTGATCACCTTAAATAAGGGCCTCCAGGCTGCATAATTGGATCTTTACATCAAGGGGTCTAATTGCATAGATGGCACTATCACAGCTGCAGTACAGGATTATAAAATGCGTTATTGTGTAAAAAAATGTTTTTGTATGTGTATATATAAACACACTACAGAGAATATAAATCTGAACAATACAGGAGTTCACTCTCAGTTTACAGAAAATAAGTGCCTGCCTTGTGAGCTCCATTAAAAATAACAGAGAAACCCCTGCTATACAAGAGCCCATCAGTTACCAATTTGCCAGAGGCAAAAAATCCATATGCAGAAGTCTGGGGCTTTCCCATCAACATACCCCTGCTTTTTTTTTTGCTTTTTTTTTTAAACATATGAAGAGCAATTATATTTATAAAAAAAAATAATAAAAATGCTGTTATTTTACTACTTTGTTTCTACCAGGGAGAAATAAACCTAGTATATGGTAAACCTGCAATTTCAGGTTTTGGAATACAATGCAGCCAAAGTGCATTGCAGTAGGGTAAACAATTACGGTTCTTCTAAAGAAAAATGCCCATCTCTGCTTCTAAATTTGGACAGGATCCACCCTCTGCCATCTAGTGGAGTAATAATGGACCTTAACCACTTAAGAACACAACGTGTGACATGTCACGATTCCCTTTCATTCCAGAAGTTTGGTCCTTAAGGGGTGTTAAAGGGAAAAATGTCCCAATACCAAAATGTATCAGTTAGAACATGGACAGGGGTTATTTTCACTTGCCACTACGATACATATTCAGGCAGTCCTTAATCCATAAATATTTTAGCTAGCACCATAGTTCCACTCTTAACTTTCCAATACAAGAAATACAGTCTTATTCCTCCATATATACAAAAAGAAAATACCATACTTTTTTTACACTAGTAAACGTGAATATATAATAGGCATTAAATAATCCACATTAAAAGATATTTTAATCTAGCCCTGGTAATCAAAGTTTAAAAGAGGGCTTCAGTCCTTCCCATTGGCATACAACCAAGTAGGTGAACGCACATCCAATAATTTCTGAAACAACTATCCATAAGCAAAATCCACAAATATTTTATATTACAATTGGCCGAAAGTGCAAGTACAAACAAAAGAAAAGCATTAAGTTAATTCACACCGTTAAACACACTGGGAATTTGATTAAAATAAAATTATTTTTAAAAAATCCTCATTCAACAGTTTCACAAAACATAATCGTAAAACTGTACACCAACAATATTACTTTAAATAAATGCATTTCAGAAATCTATACACATTGATATGAAACTTGTGTTTAAGTTTGAGCTTTTTTGGTGCTTTTTTTTTTTTTTTTTTACACAAACAAAAACGTTAGAAGCAGTTTTATTTCATTCAAACTGATCAAATAATTTACATCAAACTGAGTTAAAACCAGCAGTTATCTTTAAAAGGGGCATGCGATATTTTCAAAAAACCAGGCCAGAGTCCAAGGAATAATAAGTGTGAGAAATAAAAAAAGTCTGACAGGCCAATGCAGCAATGGCTCGTCTTACCAATGGTAATGATTGGTAATACCACTCAGCCATACTAGATTCTGTGAAATCTAGTCCAATCGTCGACAGTGCCAATATTTTCCCTCACTGGCAACCACGTACATGTCAACTTTTGAAATAATTTATTTCACCAGAATCCTAAGGGTACTCATACTGCTAGCTTCATTCTGTACAAATAGAACCAACAATAACAATCAAGATAGAAAAGAACATATTCAGCTCCATGAACTCTCACAGAAAACTTATTCAGCTATAGGAACGCTGAGCAAAAAAAGAGCTTTACATTCCTTAGAATAAGCAACTATTTAAAGGGGAATCTATGCCCTAGCACTTGTAGGTCACTGCTGCATTATAGAACCAGTAACAGAGGAGATGGGTTTAAGAACTAGTTTTGTTTCTTTGTTAAACTGTAAGAAAAGTATTTCATACAAACTGTAGCCATTTCAATTCTAGCTACAACTAATGACCCACACATAAGGACTTCCATATTAAAAACAAATATTAGCTATCAATGTAAATCAAAACATATAATGGAAAAACAAAGTGTAAGCACTTACCTTTGCTGGATTTAGATGGCCTATTCTTGTTGGACTTGAGTGAACTTCTTGATTTGTCCTCTCGTTCCTTAATCAATTTCTGCACTTCATCCAAAGAGAGTTTTTGAAGAACTACTACAGGTTTAGCACCCTTGTTAAGATCTTCCACAAGACCGATTTTTCCAGATTTCTCTTTCTGATCCCCTTTTAGTTCTGACCGTTTAGGATCCTGGGTAACATTGCCATCCTTATCCCGCTTGAGTTTTGGAATGACGAAGTGTTTCAGTGCACCCTGACTCCCACCCAACAAATAACTTGGGAACCCCGTTTTGTTGTCACTATTGGCTTTATTCCCATCCACCTTACTTTTGTTACCATCTGTCCTTTTCTCATCTTTACCAGAGGGAGATCTTAACACAGGTTTATCTGATTTAGGTTTACTAGAGTCTGATTTACTGGAGTCCGATTTACTATCACCCTTAATTCGAGGGCTGCTTGACCTTAATTTTTGTTCTCCAGAAGAAAGTCTATCTCTTGAGTCGTCTGAATCATGTCGGTGCTTCCTTTCGGACTTATCCACTTTTGATGGATCTGATTTATTCACCCCGTGTTTTGCCTCCTGCTCACTTTTGTTGAATGACCTCAGGGATTCAGGCCTCCTAACTCTAAGTTGATCCCCTTTTTGGCGATCTAAATCAGCTTTGTCATCTGACTTCTGTTTTGTGTTCTCATGGTCACGCCTTGAAGACTCATGTCCAGGTCGCCCATCTACTTTTGGTTTTCCTCCATCTGACCGACTTTCAGACTTTGTTTTTGAGGACTCACACTTGGAATCGGTTTTATGCTTAGAAATATCTGGTTTCTTATCAGAAGATAATCTGACAGAATCTCTTCTGTTATCGTGTTTGTGTTTCGGAGTATCCACTTTTTGTTTGCTTGCTTCAGAGTGTTCATCACTCTTCTGACGGTGAGACTCCTGTTTACTGTCAGACTTCTGTTTTAACGTATCTGACCGACTCTCATTCTTTTGTTTAGGTGTTTCTGGCTTACTTTCACTTTTATGCTTTGGTGTTTCTGGCCGGTTATCGTTCTTGTGCTTAGGTGTTTCTGGGCGCCCATCGTTTCTTTGTCTAGGTGTTTCTGGTTGCCCATCACTCTTCTGCTTGGTTGTGTCAGACTTGCCCTCAGTCTTTTGTTTGGGCATGTCGCTCTTTCCATCACTTTTCTGTTTGGGTGTCTCGGGTCTCCCTTCACTCTTTTGCTTGGATGCATCAGGCTTCCCTTCACTTTTCTGTTTGGGTGTGTCAGGCTTTCCTTCACTCTTTTGCCTGGGTTCTGATTTCCCATCGCTCTTTTGTTTTGGCTGTTCAGGTTTTGCATCACTCTTTTGTCGAGGTGTATCCGATTTCCCCTCTATTCTTGGTTTAGAGGAGTCTTGCTTGCCTTCAGTCCGTTGCTTGGAAGGAGTCGATCTCTTTCTTAGCTCTTCCGTGGTGTCCATGCTAGAGTCACTAAGGTTTGTATTTTCTGCAGGATCTCCATCATCACAAGGCTTGTCATCGTTCGTGGTCTCACTGACCTGATTCTCAGTCTTTACATCCTCACCAACACACATGTTTTCTACCTTGGTGTCCTCACAACTTAATTCACAGCTTTCAGGTTTTGTATCCATTTTGCTGTCCTCTGAAACCATTTGTTCCTCATTCGTCTCGGGAGGTTCAGCTTTGATAATTGATGGTTTGGTTTCATTCTGCAGTTCTTCCTGCAAGATCTCTGCTGGAAATTTAGTAGGTGTGCTCTTAATCAACTTATCAGGATTCTCAGCTTCCAAATCAGACACATTTCTTGGTGTTCCTGGATTGTTTTCAGGGTTATGTTTAAGGACTCCCAATGTATCCTCTTGTGTCCCAGAAACATATCCATCATTACAATGTTTTGTGTCTTCAGGCTTTCTGACAAAGTCTGAGTCCTGAGTTACAGATGCCTGAGTGTCCCCTCTGCCAGCATGTAGAAGATCAATGCTAACCATCAGGGCCGGTCTTGAACCATTTCCTGCTGTATCAGTTTCCTGGGAAGCTGGTTTATTTCCCCCAGTAGCACCCCCAGCTTCTAATGGATAGGAATCTTGTCTGCGCTTCTTCAATGGTTTATCTAGAAAAGACAAATTTACATATTAGAAATGTAAAGGAATACAAGTAAAATTACAATGGAACACAGGAGCATACAGTTGAAGCAACTCTTGAATACCAACATATGAAGGCCATGACAACATACATTAAATATGAGGATAGGTCATCTTTGTCAGGAAATGTTTATTCCTAGCACATTTATGTAATCTTTGCTTCTCACATTTAATTTAAACAAATGTATAGTCAATCAAAGAAAGCGAGTTAAAAAGTGGTTTGGTCAGCCCAGTCCCAAACACAGAGGAAACCCTCTTCCCTCTTTTGGAGAGCTGTGTAAGTTTTAATGAATCTTTTGTAGTGCAATTTGAAATCAGTAATGTGGCGAAGATTCCAACTACAATCACCCAGAAAAAAAAAAAAAAAACTATTGGAGCACTGTTGTAGTAATTTACACAAATACACCCTTCTTTTAATAAAAACTGAAGGCATTTGGGGTTTTCAATTAACTTTGAATATCCCTACACAACATATAAGTGTACAGCACTTTGTTAATGTTACAAATAACCACCCAATGGCACTCACAACTTACTGTTATTTCAGAAAGATACATGAAGCCCTTAGAATTGAAGAGCAATTTTCTCTCTCTCAGACACATTTATATATAAAATACTCCACACAGCAAGTGATGCTAACAATCAGAAGCTACAATTTCTTATATCGCACCAATATGTTTACAAGAGCCTGAGAATATATGACTCAAAATTTACATTAACTTCTTATGCAACGTTTAGTAGATAAGACCCTTTATTATACCAATCCATCCTAACATCTGAGCATTAGTCAGCAAAGTTCCCAAGTCCTACTATTAGAGTTGATGTCTTTAGCTTATTATAGCTGCCTTATTCTATAAAGCTTATATTAACATTAACTCTTTTTAGTGTAGTTAGATTACATTACAATGTTGCTGCATATTTAGGTTAATGTAAATTTTGTCAACTCTCCCTATAACCAAAAGATTACCTAGGTTATCAATGTGAGGCACACTTGTTTGTTTTGTGTGTTTACATTCTCAGGATTTCTGTTTTTTAAATTTGGATTTAGCATCTACTCTCTCTGATTTGTTCCAATTTGTGTGTGAAGTAATGCTCCTCTTTAGTGACTTCAACATTGAACTCTTTTGACCTGAAAATCTTCAGTCAGTTTGTTAATGATTAATAGGAGTTAACACTAATCATTGATTCTCTGGCTTTTTTTTAGCCTTTTGGTGTGATTTAGCTATTCATAAGCCCTGTATTCTTGCCAACTTCCATTGATAGTATGGACCCTTGTCCATGGAGTTAGGGACACAAGTCCAGCACATGTGTGTTTAAAATCTACAATTAGTTATGTTGAGCTGTAGAGCTCCCATTTCACCGTGCTGAGCATGTGGTCATCTTTATTCACTGAAAATGAATATGCTTTATTTTATCTCTGATGAAGTGCCATTGAGGCAAGAAACACATAAGCATCAACGTCTTGGTGTATTTCCCCACTGTGTCCCAGTCTAGATTTAATCCATATAGGAAGTATTAAAAGTATTTAAAGGATTTACACAAAAGAAATCAAACGCAGAAGCAAAAAGAAAAGTTCAGAACCAGTAAAACATACAAATAGAGCAAATATAAAATCATAAGTTCATAAAATAATAACTTCTGCAACAGACTAGCTATTACTAGCTGAGGATAATATCAACACCCACAGAATGTGGTTAACCAAGAAAAACATCAGAACATGTTTTGACTACATTAGGACATGTAATGAGAAATTGCACTGAAATGTAAATGATATATTCTTAAGATTTACTTAAAAGTATACAACATTAGCATATTCTAAGACATTTTATATATATAAAAAAAAAAGTTCCAGACATAGGCGGCCAAGAAATCTATGCTGGTTTTTTCCACTGTCGTTTTAGGCAATGTTAAAATAGTACATCTCCTTTATGTCCCTAATTCCAAATCCTCCTCAAACCATCTACATTGGGAAACTCGTGCTATTGAAACACTACTTTCAAAACACCTCCTGTATAACTGGACAAACCAGCTGCTTGCAGAAAGCTTTGTTTTCTGCTCATTCTTGGTTGTAAAACTATTTTTATAGAGCCAGGTGTGGATAAGTTTGCAGGCATAACCCTATTTTGTGCATGGCTCTCAAACACAGAAATAACACTCCAAAATCCTTGAATTGTTTGACCCTGGAAGAGTTAAACAATATTACCTTTGTCCTGAACTTCTTTAGAAGAACGCTCCCTCTCAATGGCAGATTCACGTTCTATCCTCTCGATCTCTGCCAGTGCATCCAGTTCCACTTCGTCGTATGGCGTTATGCTTCCTGTTTGTTGGGGCTGTGACTGAGCCACAGGAGGTTGAGGCGGTTTTGCAGCTGCTGATGTGTTGGGCTGTAGGACGGGCACTTGTTGCACGTGAAGGAAATCAGCCTGCTCCTGAAAGCAAGCAGCAGCATTTAACGGGCGACTTATGTCATGTGGAGTTATTGGTGTTTTTGACGTGTGCCCAGGATACTGTATATTGAACGAGGAATCTCCCTCTGACACATTGCTATCCTCCATACTGGGGAGAAGGTCACCTTGCTGGTCCATTTCAGAAGATCTGACACGTGAGAGTCTTAAGGTAAGCTTAGTGGAGTCCTTTGAGGGAGAGCTAATGATGTCATACATGGCTGACTTTTCACTCTGCTCCTTTTCGTCTTTACTTAATTTTAACTTTTTTTGTTTCTTCTGTTTTCTGTCTGGGGAGTCCAGCAGTATGTCAGGATGAGCATCTCGGGGAGAAGCATAGGAAGGAGGAGTCGGTAGGATTAATGGTCTTGATCCTACATAAAGAATAAATGGAGAAGGGAATCATGCTCTGTGCAAAATCTCAATCTTTAGAGTTACATGGCCAAGCAGAATTTATTAATTTCCAAATTCAAGACGATCTACTAGTATTTGTAAAAGAATACACTCATTGTTTGACATCTCTGTGTACTATATTTATTGCTGTAATATAGAAGTATTTTATGTCAGGTGATTCTAAAAGCAACCATATTTTAATATTTTCCGCAATACTATGCTCTGTCCATATCCAGCACTGATTATTAAACTACATATAAATTTTAAATAAAATGGAAAAAAAACATGACATTATAATGGGGGACTAAAAAGATATGTAGGAAGAAAGTACTTTCAATTACTATAAATCATGTTCTATATTCATATTGTCAGTGCAAAATTAATGGGTTGTCTGTTACTCACAGCTGGAAGCAGAACTTTAAGGAATCTGGCCCTTTACTTGTCCTCCTCAACTGGAATAAGTACAGCGTACATTATAAAAGCCAGGGGTAAGCGGAGAATAATGAGGACACTAGAGAAAACTGTCTACTGCACCAGCAGCACTGGCTTGCAAAAATCTAATTCTGCAATCACTAAAATTTCCCTTTCAGAGACCTGTCAGTGTAGAATTAGTTGAATGACCAAAGACAACCTCAATGGTAAGGAGGGAAAATGGAAATTTTAAGGGCAATTGGAGATTCTTTCACCAAGATAACATTGTCCAGAAAATGATTTAGGCCTAGTTATCTTGAAGGCTGAACTTGGTGTTTAAAAGGAGATATGACGACTAGTTAGAATGGCAGTGAGGAGCTGACACAATATTAGTTAATAGAAGAAACAATTCGGTAAGTTAAAGCCTCTTCAGAAAACAATGTCTTTTAAAAGCAAACCCTGAATCTCCAAAAGGATCTGAATAAACAAAACTGAAAACATCCATAAGCTGACCGCTTCAGTGGAAAGGAAGACGGTTTGTTGATTGTTCAAGGAATAAAAATTGAGAGGAAATTATGAGGCTTGAAGTTACAAAAAGAGCAGGATTCCTTCAATTAATAATAAAAGTGATCTTTATATAAATAACATGACCTCTGGCAGGAATTCTAGTTGGAGTCTGAACATGAAACAATTTTGTAAAATATAAATGAGCACTATATTTTTGCTTTTATTGGATGAATTCTGGTCACCAGGCACCCGGAGCCATGTGTTCCTGAAGAAACTATAGCCAAGAACCAGTAGTAAGCTTTACATGGGACCAGATTCTACATACATTGAAGTATATCTGCTCTAACGAGCCATGCCTATCAGTCTGCAATATGTATTTAGTTACATATAATACTTGTAACAATCCTGGAATGCTGCTATATGAACAGTAAGTGTTAGGAGAAGTAAAGATTAGGCTACGGATAAATTTTTTGTTTTTTAGGCCATTTTGCTGTATATAAGGGATGTGTGGAATTGGACAACACAAGGATGTCTAATGACAAGAACAATGTTCTTTAATTAGTGGTCTACAAGCTATCAAGCATATGCTCTTTTCGGGTCAATGGAACCATAATGGTTGGATATCTTTGAACCAACTGAAAAGAAAAACTACATACCAATTCTGATATTACATCTAAAGCATGGAAGCTTTTAATAATATGGGGGGGTGATATTTCTCGTAAAAGTTAATCATTTGTAGAAAGTAACAAGCGAAACAAAGCATTTGTCAGCTGACCCTAAATGGTCCAAGAAGAAGTAACCACTGAATTAAGAGTGAGTTTTCAGCTATGAAAATGTTAAGCAAAGCTGATCTGCAGTGAAAACAAGGTTAAAGAAAATATGGCATCCACTATTTTGGACCATCCATTCCAGTCTTCAAGATGAAGTCATCAAGTGGCAAAGAAAAATCCAAATGGAATTTTGAACAACTAAGAATATATAAAAAAATAAAATAAAGCCTCTGGGAGTCGATCCATTATCAATCTCATTGATATATGGTTACAACTACACTGTTTATTACATATGTAATAAACACATGCTGTACACAATGTTACACCCTTAATGCACCTTCTCAGCATTCTACTAACCAACAGGAGAATTACCAGCCAACTTTGGTCTCCCAAAACGTCCTCTTTACTAAAAACATGGAGATCTGAGCAGAAAATGATTCTTCATATAAAAAAAAAAATAAATTAAAAAAAAAAGTGTTTAAAAGAAAACGAAGTAGTTAAGGCTGATTTAAAAATACAGACTTATTACATTTTAGAGGAACAGTAACTATATTAAAACCTGCTTGTTACTGATACACTACAGCATCTCTGAACAATATAAATAACTATCACACACAAAAAAAATACAACGGAAATGGTGAAGCTTCACCTCTCTGTTGGGCTGAAAGATTTTCAATTAAGACAAGTGGAATGAATACTAAAACACAGAAGCAAGTTTCACATTGCCTTGGGTGTAACAAATTTATATTACATGGAGGAGAAACTTGCTGAAGCTATACAGACAAAGCCAGGTGTGAGCCAGGTTAACCTCTGCAACATAAGCAAATAGGGATATGACCATCCTTTATTAAATTAATTTTGCTGCATTGACAAATTGAAGCAATTCACTTCTTTGCAGTTCAGGATGATAGGGTAGAAAGATACTGTAATCGGTAAACTCCATGTAGAGCTAGTAAGGCGAAGAACACGGACGAATTATATTTCCTCTCCCAAAGGATTTCATTCACTGTAACCATCTGCTCTCTGTTGACAAGTAGATTCTGCACAGTCTCATCAGACTATGATTTTAAATGGCAAGTTGTCCACTAGTTAAGTCTGTCGTGCTGCATTTAGTGTTGAATTTGAAATGCATCCCAATATTCGCCGTAGCCAGTGTTGATCGTAGGCTTGTTGAGTCATTGAGTCCACAGTAGTTTTGTTTCTAACCTGCATAAATCCTTCCCCGTTAGCCCTCAGTGCTTAAGCCAGTGACTGATGCATCTCAACTCATGATCCTGGTAGATGTGCCACTAAGAAAAGGTCATCCACATTTTGGAGATGCTTTTGGTCTTTATGCAAAACTGGCCTACCAAGCTTCTCAGAGAAAAAAAAAGAAAAAAAAATCTTGCAGAGGGTTAAAGGGAAATTATCAGTTGCCGATAATCTAAATAATTGCAGAGTGGTAAAAACAGTACCATGACCATGCACCTAATTTTGGATTCGGTGTATGTTTCTTGTTTTCTTTAGTAGTAGTCATTGGTTAAATAATATTGTGTCTTTTGTTTCTATAAAAGCACAGCAATTTTACTAGTATTAAAAGGGGACAGTATATTGTAACTTTAGACAGTCATTGCTCAAAGTATAAAAACCAAACAAAGTGGCAGTGGTGTTTTTCTATAAACATGAAGAGTTGTTTCATTGGTGGTTTACTACACATTACTACACCAATCCAAAGACAACCTTGGAAATATATGCAATTTAATAATTTTCCTTTAACCTTAAAGTTCTTGCCTCCAAGAAGGGCAAAATAAAACAAAGCTTGTTGGAGAAAATTGTGTTTGCTTTCTTATCAAAAGAAAAGGAACCAATCAATGTCTTTAGTGCTGATAAAACCAGCTGCGAATAACAGACAAGTCACTAATTCTGCTCTGACAGATTGGCCAGATCAGAAAGTACTGCAACAGTGGAATCCCTTTTTGAGAATCATTTCTATTTATGCAGCCAATAAAATCACCTACATAGTCTGCCAATTGTGTGTGAAAAACAATTAAATTCATCTGTTCTGTTTTTTTTTGGTTTTTTAACACAGCTGTTTCATATCGGAGACATTTGAACCAAAACTGTACCTTTTGGAGTCCCTTCGCTGCCCGCTGGAGAGCACACGGACTGTGGAGAGCGCAGGGAAAAGGAGGCAGGATTTCTAATCGAAGAATCACTATCCTAAAAACAGAGTAAAGTGTTTTAAATATTACCAAAAAAATACTTACACAGGAGTGATTGCATAATTATCACTCTCTCATCTGGTTGTACACAGTGCTATATAATAACATACTGCTGGTGACTATGCAGTTCACCACACAAACAAAAATCTTTTGCAAAATTAGACTGGGTAAATTGGCACAACAGGTAGGGGGATAGCAATGATAGGAAATCTTAGCACAACTATAAACTGGAGTGTATTTGAGAAAGCGAATATGGGAATATTTTCACGCCCATAATGAAAGGCTGTCACATTAACAAGAAATGCAAATGGCTAAAGGTGTGCATGTGTCAATAAAAACAACTATTACTTAACATTTAATGTTATCATGCAGCATGTTCAAGAATTCTTGTATTGCACACAAAACAATTCTTAGGTGTGAATGAACATTAATTTGCCAAGTAAAAAGGTTTTAAAGCAACTGGTTGATCTTCACTCTCTGAAGCAGCAAATTAAACAATGGTTCAGGCTGAACAAGAGATACATTTTGCCAGTACTTAGATTAGTGATATCTAATATTGGGCACCAAATTTCTGAAATGCATTTCTGATGACCGAATATCATGAGAAAAGGAATTACATTGGGTCAATTCATGAGAAAAAAAACAAAAACATGTTGGATGTATACAAACAATTTAATTCAATAATAGACCGCACTACTGTACAAAGAGCACAAAACAAATAAGATTTGATTAAAAGGTCTTCCTTTAAAATAACATTTTGAAACAACACACTTCAAAATGTGTAAATGATGCAATACATATGCAAATTTCAAATGGATCAGGGAAACAATTTGACCTATAAAGAGCATATATATTTTATCTCATTCAGTATTAAAAGTAAAAGTCTAAAATGTTTTCATAAAATTAGCATATTTTCTTTAAACATGTTACATTTTGACAAAGTAAGTAAAGTTCACAGCTATATGTTTGAATGTTGCAAATTTGCAAGCATTAAGTTAATTTTATTATTGCCATGCCATTCATACACACAATTAACAGTTCCCACATTTATATTCAGTGCAGGCATCATTTGTGGCCATACCTCACTTCCCAACCTATGTACCATCTGGAGATAATCATCACTAGTACTATGTCTAGAGTTGTCTGCATGGTGGTTTGCAGCGTTACCAGACAGCTGACCGGAGACTTTATTTTCATGCAGATTTCTGAGTCCACCTGCAACTATCGGACTGGAGACAGATGCTACATATGGGAGAAATAAAGAGTGACGACTGTTAAAATGTATTTAAATAAATAATTTTTACAAGCAGCTATAGTTTTGTTTCAGGAATATGTTGGGATTGCATGTGGAACTGTGCCATAAGGACACATGTTCTGCTCCGCTATGTACAATATGAGACCACAGGGCATCTGAATTACTAGGTAAAATGTATTGTTTAATATGAACTCTGTCAGTGTCCAGAGTATCCATTTACATTTTTAAAAATGTATTTACTGCAATTGGTTTTATCACTATACTGTGGTGATCAAGTAGATAATCACAGAACAGTGATGAAATTTGTTTCAGGGATTTCTGCACATGCCAATTTTGACTATGTAATGTCACAGCATTAGCAAAACCTTTGCAAGGAATTTCTGATAACATTAAATTTACATTGTGAGGAACCACAAGGAGACTTCATTTACAAAATGTATGCGGTTATGAGCTGTTAAAATATTTAAATATTTCCCCCCAGCAATAGTACACACATGGATTGGGAAATTGACAGCAAACATGAAAAGTTGCACTTGCAAAAATGACACAAATTATCAAGAACTAGAGATAAACATAAAATCTGTTCTGAGTAGTTTACATGTGCATTAATTTTATGCACATACAGTATTAGAAAGTACAGTTTGAAAAATGGAAGAAGAAAAAAAACGTGGGAGCAGCAAAACAAAGAAAGGAAAAAAATGGATAAAGAACACAAATGGGATGCAAATAGCACATGGAAATATATACAGCATGGTACATCGATTCACAGATTTCCCATTAGGTCTTTTCAATTAACAGGTCCTAAGCCCAGCAATGTTGGAATTTGTTTTAGCCATACGTCTATGTTTAATTCTTTAGAATTCTTAATTCAAAGAAAAATACAACCTAGACAGGAACAAAACAATACCATGTTGACTACTGGGCTTAAGTACTACCAAATAAAGCTGCTTTAGCTTATGTCTACATTCAAGTCATTCATAGCATATGATAAAATGTTGCAGTGGTAAGAGATTAGTGTAAAGAAGAACAGAGAGAAGCATTGCAGTAAGTGACCGTATGTATTACCTTGTTGCATTTGTTGATGCTGTGTATAACTTCCAGGGTGGGCATATGGCATGTATCCTGCAGGGCTTTGGGGAGCATATGGACTAGGAACAGGGCTATTTTGTTGGCCAATAAACCGGTTTGTAGAACTAGTTTGAGGTGGCACAAATCGACTGAAAAGGAAAATTCAATTTTAATTACTAAACATAAACATACAAAATTAAACCCTGCACTCAAACTCCCACTACCCCTGGGCAGCAGCAATGACAATAGTACACATCAGCATACACACTGTATGTTTTGAACACTAGGGCTATAGATCTCTTACATTAGCCCTGTAAAGAACCCTGACAACTTTGTTTTTAAGGGGTAAATCTACTAAGCGTTTGCATAATTGTTATTTTATGTGCTTAACAACAATTTTGAAAAACCATTTTAAAAAACTATTGAATAAGATTTCATTGAATGATGTATTGATTTTTTTTTAAAACAATATTTATTGCACTTTTATTAAACAGTTTATTATAATTGGGGAAAAACAACTTTGTTACTGTGCACAGTAGGCATGAATTCACTGAAATTAACTATTTACGCAATTATTAAACTCAGAATTGTAGCCAACTGAAATTGAACCTGCAAAAACAAGGCAAAAAACAGCGAATCTATAGAAATGCTCCAACACAAAGCCACTCACATCATGAATGTTTTTTTTAAATTTTGCCATTCATTACAATTTGATATAATTCTGATGTTGGTGAAAATCCTGATCGTAAATGCATCCCTAACATTTAGCATATTATATTTATCAAGAGAGCAATATCAAGGAGTCTCTTTCAGGTCACAACCTTTCAAGTGGATACAGATATTCAATTCTGATAAAACAGAAACAATCTCTAACACTGCTTAAAGCTGCACTGTCATGCCGAATCCTGTGTTTTTTTATTTTTTTTTTATTTAAGCCCCCTCCTGATGGTTTTTTATTTGGTCTTTTTGGGGGCTGAAAAATGAAGATTTGAGAAAAAAAGAAGACGTTGAATGGTAAGTTTAATTTTATTTTACAGGTTAGTTATTTTATTCCCCCTTCACTATTTTTTAGGGTGAGGGGGGTAGGTAGGGGTATTTTTATTTGGGTGGGGGGGTGGATGACTAGGGGCTTGGGGACCCCTGGTCACCTTTGATGGGGTGGGGGGAATTTGACTTGGGGACCCCACCCGCTGTTTACTAGACATGCCCCTACTCACGGTATAGCGAATAGGGGCATATTATTTACTGATACTAAGTAATATTTACTTAGTATTAGTAAAGTTGGCTGAAAGACCAATTTAGGTCTTTCAGCCTTTTAGTAGATAGCTCCCTAATACCGTGGGAATTAGGGAATTATCTACTAAGCGGCTGCAAGATGCAGCCACAGCAAGAATAGGATCGGAGTTTCATTCATTCGAATGAAATTGCGATTCGAATAAAGCGCCGAATTGCGTTCTAAAAGAAACGAACATACTGTTCTCATTCAGTTAGAATGCAATTCGGCAGTTTTGTGTAAAGTGACAGGAAGCATCGTGGGAACACAGAGGGAAGGTGAGAATCATGGGAAAATTGCTCTGACCAGCGGAAATGAAGCACACTTTGCTCCTCCGCTGGTCAGAGCTGGTCAAGCGGAGGAATCCTCCATAAGGCAAAGAGTCCCTACTTTGTCTTATGATTTTAAAGAAAACTAAAGAAGACTGGAAGAAAAGAATAACAGATCCTGAGAGAGGGGGAGAAGAGGAAGAGATTGAGGAAAGGTAAGTTCGGCATGACAGTGCCGCTTTAAGGAATCACTTCCCAGAGTCAGAGGTAGCAGATTCACTAATGTAAACAATTTAATGTTGCTAAATAAAAATGATGTGTACATTCCAAAGGGTGGGCTTAAGTTCTAAGGTTAGCACTATGGTAAATAAAACTCTGAATTTACATTCTTGACTGATGGTTTTGTAGAAATGGCAATGCAAATGAGAATATAATACAACTTTAATTATGTTACCTGGAAGGGCTATGAGAGATAGTGGTTGTTTGTTGATAATTGGAAGAAGCAGGGCTGCCATGCATGGAATTCTGGGGAAGTTTGTACTGAGGCATCATCATCCCTAAAAAAAAGGATAACAAGTTTCATTGTCTACAGTAACAGTTTACATAATTCCAACCAAGTAAAAAAAAAAAATATATAATATATATATATATATATATAAAAATAGTTCTCTATATACAACAAAAACCACAAGGATACAAAAATTTAAATTCACATTCATCTAATTAATAACTCAAATGATATTTAATAAAGCAGCTAATACCAAGTATATGTAGGACCACTACCTATTGGAAATTGCATTGTATTTTTTATATTATATGATATCTATATATATATATATATATCTATATATATATCTATATCTCTATATATATATATGAAAAATGGTGATATTGCATATGAAATAAAAAAATAAAAAAAACAGACAAGGTAAGCTAAAAGATTGGTGCACTTAAGGATAAGAAAAATGCAAAGCATGTACTGCAGAGTCGAAAAACAGATTATGCAAAAACATGTACGTGACCGTTTTTTTTTTTTTTTACACAATCGCCTTTTCTTTGCTTTACTTTTACTGTGGCAATGAGTTATATATATATATATATATATATATATATATATATATATATATATATATATATATATAAATATAAATATAAATAAAATACCTTACCCTTCTGCATTTGCTACTTTAGTGGAAAAATAAGATAACACAAAAATATTTGTACGGTCCTTAAAAGTTCAGTCTAATGAACATGAACACTATATGCTGTAATAATAGTTACAGAGTTAGAAAGCTATAGGTTCAGTCTTCCACTTTATGCTTAAAGCGACACTGTAGGCACCCAGACCACTTCAGCTCATTGAAGTTGTCTAGCTGCGGTGTCCCTTTTGCACCTAGTGCTGCAATATTAAACATTGAACTTCCAGAGAAATTGCAATGTTTACATTGCAGCTCTAAGTCTGCCCTCAATGGCAGTCTACCAGACAGGGTGGGGAGCGCTTCCGGAATCGTAACAGACTTTTGGTCCATTATCTGATGCTGGACATCCTCCCGCTCTGCATGAGGACCTCCAGCGTCAGATTTTCCCCCATAGGATAGCACTAATTCAATGCTTTCCTATGGGGTGGTCTAATGTGCATGCGGCATTTGTCCGCAGGAATTTGCACGCGGGACGGAGGAGGGGGCAGAGCTTCGACACAGCGCCAAGGGACATCAGGTAAAGTGTTTTTAACTATATCCCGAGTGGGGTGGGGGTGGGATGGCTAAGGAGGGGGGAGGCAGAGGGATCAGCTTTGTATTCATGGAATTACAGTATCCCTTTAAATATGGTTTGACCCATAACTAGGGGATGGTATCCAGAGGGGTCCGCTGCTCCTTGCCTCCACTACTAACGTCGAAGAGTCAGAAGCTCCTAAGGAACTTCTGATAGCACTCCTGAGTTATACCTTGCTAATTGCAAGTTAAGCTAACAACAGATCCTGTAACCTATCCACCAATATTTAATCTCTCCTCCGTATGCTTTCACTCTGCTAAATGTCCGGTCCAAATGACAGAGCTAATAATTCTAGACAGGTAGCTAAGATACATTTGCAGGATAAAGAGGTATGGATTCTACATTTTATTTTTCACACCTGACAAATATATATGCTAAATATATTTAAATATAAAAAATAAGCAAGTTTAAGATTAAAAAAATTCTGAGAAATTACAGTTTAATTAAAGCATTTTTAGGATAGCACTGTATACAGTGACTTAGCATAATTTAAAAGGACGTTGCATTCATAATCTGAGCACCCAAAAAATATGAAAGGTTACTTGAACGACCATGACCACTTTTGCGTTTAGAAGTGTTTATCGAGGTAAGAACCTGTGTGTTCAGCGTTTTAGTTTTAAGTGCAGCACATTCAGAGTAATCTGCACTTATGTGCCAGAGGCTAGTTGCACTTCCTGCACAAGTCACTACTTTCTGGGCTACCTACTGTTAATTCTATACACAAATTATGTCTGTCGTCAGCACGCACTGCATGCTGGACTACGACATAATAAACTTCCCCAACGCTGAGAGGAAAAGTCTACATCTCCCTCCACTCTTTCATTTGAGCCCTCACAATTTTTCTATAATCCTTTAGACAGACTCAATTTATACTTCCCTCCCTCTCTTCTTCCCCTAATCAAATGCTTTCATATTAAAAGCATTTCATTGGATTTCACAAGGAAAGGAGCGACGACAAACGGGGAGTGGGGACCAGCACTAGATTACAGATATGTTTATGCTTTATTTTGAAATTATGGGAGCAAGTAAATAATTTCCGATAATACAAGAGTAAGAAGAAAAGAAAAAAAAAGTAAATGCATTTGACAGATTTTGGCCTCACACTGATGCAGTGTTTTTCTTCACATTCAAATTTCATTAGATTTGCTAGAAAAAGGAAAAAAGGAAGAAAAAAAAATGGTCCTGTAGCATAACCCTGTCTTGCTTTCGACAAAGCAGTTGCCTTACTATATGTATTTTGAGTACAACTTTGAAAGACTATACAGATAAGTTGACAGTGATTAGCTGTGGGGACAGAAAAAAATCCGCAACTAAGCTCACACTCATCTCTCATTGGCTACGCCGAGTACATACTCAGAATATGTCAAATATATAAGTTGTTTTGTGGAAAGAGGAGGACTGGATAAAGTTACGTATTGCAGACAGTTCCCAACCCTTTTCTTTTAACCAAAACGCTTGAGATGTGAACAGGAGAAAAATCAGCACTAGTACCAAAATCAAATGAACTTAAAGGATTACTCCAACCAGCATAAACACTACAGCTTGCACCGTTCCCTGGTAATAGGGCAGTTTTACAACAGTTTGCCCTGTTTCCTGGGTACCCGCCAGGCACTGAGTCTCTTTTGCACCATGCTTATGACACCCCACTTCTGCAGAGCTAAAGAAGCAAGATGCTGATTGCTCTTGGCCAATTAATATACCTCTGTTCAAAGAAATATACAGAAAATTGACATGATGCCCAACTGAAACTGTCGGCGATGTAGTTCATAGTGAAATGCTGCACATACAGAATCCAAGCACAATGACCATCATGGTGCTTTGAGTAACCCTGTAAGTTATGTTAATGCCCAGAACATTACTTTAAATATTAGTGAAACACTGTGATTCTGGAAGAATTACAGTCTTAATGTACTAATTTGCAGTTATAATGTACAATTTGCTTTGCAAATGTATAAACAACATGAGAATTCAAAATATTTCAGCAAACAAATTCCCATCTTCCAGGTTAGCAATATGGCGAGCTGAGGTCCGCCAATTACCATCATTGTGGCTCAGAACCGGGAGCAAGTCATTTCAGTTTAACAGCACCGTAACCACTACAACTAGATATAGTGCTTAGAAAGTCCCACTAATAATGGTTCTGTCAGGAGCCAGACAAGAATATTGTTATAGTTATAATGAAGTTCTGTATGTCCCTGTGGGCATAAGCAAATAAGGTGAAAAATGAACATTTGGAAAGAACCAGTTAGAAAAGGAAATAACTGCCTCCCATAGACTGCACTAGCCACCAGCCTCAGCATGGAAATTAATGGAAATCAAACAGTCCAGTGGCAGAGCAAATCTTCATTAGCTAAAGAGAATACCAGCAACAATATTCTTAAAGGCATTTTGAAAACATAAAATGCTAGAGAAGTTTGCAATACATCACTTCTGCATGTGAATGTTACTGAATACCAAATAATACTGTGTTATACCTGGACACCACTACAAAGAAATATCAATGCAAACGCCCAGGTTAGGTTGAATGTCTAATAAATATGAAAATCAAATTATGTATAATTGTTGTATAGGAGTCTAAATGGCAACAAACTCCTTACCACTTTGCACTCCATATCTGTTCTGCATGCTCTTCTCCCTGAAAACATTGGGATTTCTGGCCAAAGTGGCCTGCAGCAAGACAGGTATGTCCCCTTCTGGATCATCACTTCCCAAGTTATCTTTCAGTTCTCTGTCAGAAAGGATAAATAAATAAATACAGGTTAGGAAAACTGTGGCAACTTTCTTATAATGACCTTGTCACCCCTACATGTAGCATAAAAATTATTTATATGGTGTGCAGGTAAAATTGCAAGTGGACATGTATACTGTTAACCCATATAATTGTTGGTCTGCTTGTTTGCAACGTATTTGACAAGCTCAATGTTTAGCAACAATTATTCAAGAAGAAAAGAATGAAGTCAGTTTGCAACAACATGGTTTGAGCACAATTTCAGATTTAAAAACAAATAATTTAAAAAAAAAAATCAGCAGGTAATCTCAAAAACGAGCATTCATGGAAACATTCTATCACGACTTATGACTTAAATAACGGGAGTAAAACAGGGTTATTAAAGAAACGTATCAGGACTCAAAATGTATGCTCTCCCTCTAGTCTTTGGCATGTAGCATTTAGTCCTGGCAAGTATCACATGGATCCTTACAACCCGAGAAAACCATCTGTACTGGCTGAAAGCAAGAACTTAACAGTAGCTCCAAAGCTGATGTCTGTGACAGTCATGAATGGCACTAAACAATAGTGATGGCCACTGACATTTAACTCTGTAGAGATTGTGTAAGTCTATACAAGAGGCATCAAAAGTATTAACAGAAATTTAGCATGCTACTTTCTAAAGTAGAGAGCTGCGACATGAACTACTGCTCAAAGGAACTCTGGGGGAATTTATGGCATAAGCTTGGCACGGCCATAAAAAGTTATGAGAGCATTGTGACTGGCTGGTTAATAGCATAGAATGAGCAGAGCTTATGTCAGAGGCTGGTAAGTGTTGCGATCTACAGCAAAGGCAGACTTTTTGAACAAGAGTTCTGGGCTGTTTAGTGTATATCCTGTACAACTTTTGTTGTACAGAATTGTATTAATTGGCTGAGAGGGGTCAGCTGACACTCTCAGATAATGAATGGCAATGACCATAGCAGAAGCTCGCCACTGGACCACCTGTGGCATGCTGGGGACCCAGATAAGGGGATTAACCATTGCTAAACGGTTTGCACGATTACCGAGAAAACGTGACAGGGTAGTGCAGGCCAAAATTAAATCTCAAACAAGATATTCAACAGCTGCAAGGGCTATTGTAGCTGTACAGAATCCCATAAAGTAAAACGTGAATGAGTTTATATTTCAACCTCTAGCTTTGTAAAAAAATTTGTAAAAGGCTTGCAAATCAAAAACAAGTGAAACACCTGAATGAAACATGCTAACTACGTGCTGTCATTTGGAGGTGGGCTGAAAGCCAAACAGTTAGTACATCAGAGTAACTCGGTATAAGGCTATCCTAAACTTAAGATAAGGCCAAAAACTAATGAATGTATTTAGAAAACTAGGGCAGACTAAATGGGCCGAATGGTTATCTGCCATCACATTCTAGGATTCTATATATCAGCTAATCAATCTACATGGCAATCCATTCCTGGTTGTTTTTTTTTACCCTTACTGCAAGGCTCTGCCACATCTCTGGTACAAACCAGGAAGAAAAAAAATACAAACAGACACATAGCATTTTATTGGCAGATAAAGGTCAGCTGGCTTATATAGTCTGTGCATTTATAGTCTAACAGACTTTTGTTGGTTTTGTTAACAGTAGATAGCAGAAATAGCACAGCCTTCTTTAACTCGTATTAATCTATATTACCCTTTATTCTTTGCATCTAAAGCTTTTTTTAAAGTGACACTATAGTCACCAGGACAACTACAGCTTATTGTAGTTCTGTTGCCTATGGCCTGTCCCTGCAGGCATTTTCATAGAATAGGCATTGTTTAGATTATAGCCTGCGAATACCTCTAGTGGCTACTCGTCAGGAGGCCACTAGAGGTGCTTTGTGGGGCTGTGCACTGATGTTCAGTCTCCAACACTCTGCATAGAGATGCTGATTTTTCCTCTTAGAAATGCATTGATTCAATGCATCTCAATGAGGAGATGCTCATTGGCCAGGGTAGTGTTTGGTTCCGCCCCCACCCACTTGGCTGAGATCATTAAAATTGACTCAGCCAACCCAATGCTTTTCTATGATCAATTGTGATGTCAGCCTATGAGATGGATCAGGGGTGGAGCAGCGCAGTGTTGGAAATAAGGCAAGTTTTGATTAAATTTAAGTGTGGCTAATTAACACCACAGAGTCACAAATACACATTTGTGTTGCTGACCATATAGTGTTCCTTTAAATAGCCTTCCTTCCAGGTTAGATTCTTAGAGCTTTAAATTGCATATGAAATGCACAAAGAACATGCACCATTCTTACAAGTAATAGAGTTGCTTTTTAATTCTTAATTTTTGAACAGAAACAGAACATGTGACCAAATTTGGTGATGTGGACTAAAAGCAATACAAACGCAAAATTTGGTTACTAACCACCAAATTACCACAACCTGAGCCTGCTCTTCATGTAGAGATTCAGGATATCCATAAAGCCGAACACAGCATGCAAAATAACCCCAATTTGTCAATATGAGTCAACATCTCTGAGGCATCAGGTAGAACTTATGACAACAAACAGTGCTAAAAGTTTATTTTTTTGGGGGGTGGTTTAACGAGGTTTCATTATTCAAATGTACTGCAACATAACAGCTGAACAACAATAATTTCAGTTCCACTTGGAAAATAAGAATACCATTTTTAACATAACTGCCAAGTACATATGATTTTTTTTAAAGAGTCAACAAAGTGGTGTTTTAGCACTTGAATTCAGAAATTCAAGTAATGCTTTCACTTTTAACAGCAGTGAAAGCATTACTTGAATTTCTGAATTCAAGTGCTAAAACACCACTTTGTTGAGACTCTTTAAAAAAAATCATTAGCAAACATACATATCTGGGAATTTATTACAATTAGCAATACAGATGGAGGACTGCTGGATACCCATGACATGGCTAACATCTTTTTCCAGCACTTAAAGCAGCACTTTTTTTGTTTTTAGTTTTTTTAACCCCCTCCTGACTACACTACATCTAATTGACCCCCTAGTAACTCCCAAATGCCCCTAAGCCCCCCATATTACCATAAATAAGGGGGACGGGACCTATTAGCTTCCCCCTCCCCTGAGCAGCGGGTGGGGGTCATAAATAAGGGGGACGGGACCCCCTCCGCCCCCAAGGTCACCAGGGATCCCCAAGCCCCTAGTCACCCCTCCAAAACAAAAATTAATAAACCCCTACCTAACCGCACCCTAAAAATAGTGAGTGGGGAATAAAAGAACTAAGTACCTGTAAAAAAACAAAAAAAAACAACAACTTACCATTTGACGTCGTCTTTTTTCTAAAATCTTAATTTTTCAGCCCCAAAATAGGCCAAATAAAAACCATAATACCAGTCGAACTTCTGAAAAATTAAATAAACCTGAGCGCCCCAAAAGATGAAAAAGAAAAAACCAGACGCTAAAAAATTAATCCATCTTCACTCGGCGATGGCATGGCGCAGACTGAGCTCCGCAGGGCGGGAAAAGGCTTATAAAGCCTTCCCACATCCTGCAGTTCAACCAGAGTGCTAGTCATTTTACACAGCGTGGGAAAGTTCTTTGGAATTTTCCCACGCTGTGTAAAATGACACAGCACTCTGAGGCTAATTGCAGGGCGTGTGAAAGCTTTATAAGCCTTTCCCCACCCTGCGGAGCTCAGTCTGCGCTGTGCCCTCCATGGGTGAAGATGGATTATAATTTTATTTGTGTCTGTTTTTTTTCTTTTTCGTCTGATTTTTTTATGACATTTTTTACAAGTTCAACGGGTATTATGGTTTTTATTTGGCCTGTTTGGGGGATGAAAAATTAAGATTTTAGAAAAAAGACCACAATTTTTTTTTTTTTCTACAGGTACCTAGTTATTTTTTTTTGTTTTTTTTTAAGTAGACATGCCCCTACTCACGGTATAGTGAGTAGGGACAGAATTTAATATTACAAAGTAATCTTTACTTAGTATTAGTAAATTTGGCTGAAAGACCAATTTAGGTCTTTCAGCCTTTTATTAGATAGCTCCCTGATACCGTGGGAATTAGGGAGCTATCCACTAAGCAGCTGCAAGATGCAGCCGCAGCACAAATCAGATCGGAATTTTATTCATTCAAATTAAATTCCGATACAAACAAAGTTCCGAACTGCGTCCTAACATGAATGAACAAAATGTTCTCATTCTGTTAGGACGCAATTTGGTAGTTTCTCCGACGTTCTGTCTAAATGACAGGACCTTCAGGAAAAGTGACAGGAAGCATCGTGGGAACAGAGAGGAAAGCTAAGGATTATGGGAAAATGTATCTGACAACCGGAAATGAAGCACACTTTGCTCCACCGCTGGTCAGAGATGGTCAGGTGTAGGAAACCTCCATAAAGCAAATAGTTCCTACTTTGTCTTATGTTTTAAAGAAAACTAGAGCAGACAGGAAGAAATGAAGAACAGATCCTGACAGAGCGAGAGAAGAGGAATTGATTAAAGAAAGGTAAGTTCAGCAATACAGTGCCGCTTTAAGGTTTGACCCTGGTCCTAGATATTGACAATGTCTGCAAGAAAATGAGCGGGGGACAGTGCTTGCCATTTCTATATATAAATATTTTATTTTAAAACATGTAATTTAGGTCAGTGACAGCATTTCATTAAAATAAAAAATACAAATTTTTAAATACGATTTAAATAATGGAAAAAAAAAACTAATTCTTTTTATGTATTTATTTTAAAACCATTCATTTGATTCCACCTTGGAAACAACCCATTTTTTCTGGTATGCCAGCTACCACTGAGTGATTACAAAGAAAATTACTTTGGTAATTTAGCTAATTTACCAAGAAAATAAAACTGAACCTCCTCTGACTCCAGTTTTTAGATGGTTACCCAAACGTATGTAAAAGTAAAACAAGAAATTCACTGTTTAACATTAATTCTAAGTAAATTAAAAATACATACATGTGATCGGTTGACACCTGATTGAGGCTATGAACAAGCTGTGAGACCAAAGGTTCATCCCTACACGCGAGAAGGCAGTTGACCTCTTCTGCTATCCGTCCATTAAACAGGAGGCTCTTGGTAGTTGTAGCAGGTAAGGGGGATGGAAGAGGCAGCTGGTTCAGTACTAGGTTAGAGACATAAGAAAAAAGTAAACTTCACAATAAAACAAGTAAAGCAAAGGCAATCTTCTAAGAAATACGAGAGTCCAAAGTTGATGTGTTATTACGACTAAAAAAAATTAACTAGTAAAACAGGAATTATATTAAGATACTGAAAATTTTGATGACAGTGTTACTTTAACAGATCTATAGCAATACAAGTAAAAGATCAAGCACCAGATATAAAAAGGACTCTCCAGATCAAAGTATGGTAGTGAGGGGAACCAAGATTTCATTCAAACACTTTGGGCTCCATTTGAGGTTTAAAATTCCAGTTTGTCGACTTAATAAATTTCCAAGTAAATCAAGTTAGAAACATGACCAGGCAGTTTAATCCATTTAAATTATGTGGTTATTTTTCTGTAATCCAAATGAATAGCATATTGAGATAGTCCAAAAGGCATGTAATACTCCAGTTATAATCCTAAGCGAAAAGGAGCTTATGTCCAAGCAGCAGACCAAGCGACCATAATTGTAATCCTCAATATTCCAAGCCATTGTGATGATCTTGATGTTATATAGTGTTATCGGATAGTATCTTTCTCCTGTGATGATCTCTGTTTTATCTGCGTTCAACCTTACACAGTTGTTACTCATCCAGTCTTGGAAAACAGGTTAGACGATCATCCAAAGTACAGACAATCCATTAGCTGTTTAATAAGTACCCATGTGCCATCAGAACAGCTTTGGTAGCCCAACGCCATAAAATCATTTACTGTATTATTGTATACTGCAAAAAATAGATAAATAAAAGATCCATGCGGTTTTCCTCTTGGTGGTATAATGAAATTAGGCATAATTTGTCTGGTCCTCCAGAGAAGGATATACGCCAACTAAATGTCTTGCCAGCCTGTCCACTGAACTCCTTAACAATGGCAATTAAAATCCACTAACAGTACGCTTAGTACGTACACTAGTCAGGTTTCCAGACTAGAGTAGTTTCCTGCATCCTGGCTGGAACAGATCAATGTGCCAGTTTGCTACTGAGCAGCAACAACTCTCAAATGACATTACCTTAAAAAAAGGGGAGGCTTGAGACTGGTCTTACCTGAGATGTAGATCTAGAGCTGGTACCATGATCTTAAGAAACAATGGAATGATGCCAATCTCACATGAGAAAAAGCAATTTCTTTTAAAAAACATGCTTACAGTTTAAATCATAGTGAAACAAATTAGCTTAATAAAATGTCTTCTGTGCTGCATGTGTAGTAGTAAATAAAATGAGACAAGAAAGTGATAATCCAGACATAGTAGCACAGAAAAATGGAAAAAAAAAAGTTGACTACTGGTCTGAATAAAATATAAGTGTATAAAAAGGTTCACTGACATTACAAAAACAACATTAAATAAAAGTCACACACGCTTGTCCATATGACTTACTAAAGGCCAAAATAAAAGATTTTGTGTAGTTTGGGATTTATGTCTTTATGCCACATGTTCTAGCCTATGGACTCTACAAATCTGATGGGGCATCTTAATTTGCTAAAACCCCTCCCCAGCTAGTTAGCCAAGTATGTGGCCACACTCAAAATGGCATACATGGAAAGGATCAAGCATTAGTTTAATAAAAAGTCAAACAATATATAGGTAGTGCGAAGAAAAATACTCCAAACACAATAGTATATAATAAGAGCAATAAAAAAACAAAACACAGAATATAAAAAGAGTCCACAATAAAACTTGAAAGAAAAAAATACCAAATGGTACAGCACAGTCTCAAAGGTGGCAATAGATATTCTAGTCCTGGTATGGGTCTTTCTTGGTACCTTTCTCTTAATATCAGAATATGAAAAGGAAGCAAAAACAGAGGCAAACCAATAGTGCAATATGGCAGTACATGGAAGGACAAACGACACTTAGTTGACATGTCAACTCACATATGGTAGAGCTATAACCAGCTCTAGGTAAAACAGCATGCAGTGGTATACAATCCCCACTTGCAGAATATCCCTCTGGTTTTGGTACATAGTAGAATGATGGTAAATCACCCAAAAAAAAAAAAAAAAAAGCCTTTTACCACTTGAGAAAACGCGTTGTGGTTTTTTTATGCTGTTAAAGTATTTCGGCTATTTTTATACTTTTACCTGACATCTGGACCCATTACCTACTGTGTACAACCAACCAAAGAAATTCTTGGTGGGGATTATACCACCCAGACTTGATACATGGAGCGGTTACTCTGCTCACTCTATTGTAAGTATATTTTTATTAACCTTATTGATACTTAACATATAGAGAGCACTATTGGCGGCTTTTGTTGTCATTTCATATGATCTAACTCATCATTATCCAGTTGTGATTTACCATCATTCTACTGTGTACCAAAACCAGAGGGATATCCTGCAGGTGGGGATTGTATACCACTGCATGCTGTTTTACCCAGAGCTGTCATGTTAACTAAGTGTCGTTTGTCCTACCACGTACTGCCATATTGCACTATTGGTTTGCCTCTGTTTTTGCTTCCTTCATTTACTGATATTAAGCGAAGCTACCAAGAAAGTCCCATACCTGGACTAGAATATCTATTGCCACCTTTGAGACTGTGCCGTACCATTTTGTATTTTTTATTCAAGTTTTATTGTGGAATCTTTATATCCTGTGGGTTTTCTATTGCCCTTATTATATAATATTGTGTTTGGAGTATTTTTCTTGGCACTACCTGTATATTGTTCTTTGACTTGTTCTAGTTTTCTTGGGGGTTGGAGGGATTCCCCTATTATCGTGTGTTCTGCCTCCCATTGTCGTGTTCTTAGTTTGTTTAGCGCTGCTCTATTCCTTGTTCAGATTAGTTTAATAACCGTTTGAAGATTATACTAACTTGAAAAACCAATTGTTTTATGTCATAAAGCATCAAACCTGCATTCTTTGATACACAAACCCAATGTAAAATGCCTATGGGAATACTTTTCTAGAAACAAATAAAAAGAAAAACCTACCTAAAAGAAATAAAAGAAAATGAGCCCAATTTACAACAAATGTAAATGCCACACAATTGCTGAGAGTGTGCATGCTTAGTACATTTTGTAATGTGTGCGTTTGTAAAGAAAATATTTACTTACAGTCTGTCAGACTAGCAATGCCTGCTAGAGTAGTAATGGGAACATGAGGCATATCCCCATTCATCCTGAAGCTGGATGGTGGTATCTATGCAGATATTTTAATGTAGGCGCCAGATGTCATTACTTCCCATGTCAGACACTGCAAAATGACAAAATGAAACACTGGTTAGCTTGATGTGTGCACATTATTAAATACTAAAACACCCCAACAAATAATAGTTAACGGTTTAAAATGCATGTTACACATTCTGTTTAAGAACTAGCAATGCTATTCTTTATGCAATGGTTTAGCTGCACACATCCTAATTCACGCAACCTATACTCTCCACAATCATTAGCAGATCTGTGAACTATCCAATTTTGATAACTAATCTCAGTAGGTTAAAGGATCACTATAGGGTCAGGAACACAAACATGTATTCCTGACCCTATAGTGTTAACACCACCATCTAGCCCACCTGGGCCCCTCATGCCTCCATAAATAAAGTAAAAATCTTACTGTATTCAAGCCAGAAGCTGTAAATCTGCATGCTGTTAGACTCAGAAAAACAGGCAGTCTGCTGACATGTGGTAGCCTGATCCAATCACAGTAATTCCCCAAAGGATTGGCTGAGACTGACATGATTCAAACACAGCCCTGGCCAATCCGCAGAGCCAGCATGATTCAAACACAGCCCTGGCCAATCAGCATCTCCTCATAGAGATGAATTGAATCAATTAATCTCTATGAGGAAAGTTCAGTGTCTGCATGCACAGTGCTGCCCAGTGCTCTGCTGACAGCAGATCTGAGTGGATGGCCGCATATTATGCCTCCATCAACTCCGAAGTCCCTCTGGTTCACTGCAACTTGAGGTGTTCCTAGCTTTCAATGTAAACACTGTATTTTCTCAGAAAATACAGTGTTTACATGAGAAATGCTGCAGGGAGCTATAGTTCACACCTGAACAACCTCATTAAGCTAAAGTTATTCAGGTGACTATAGTGTCCCTTTAAGTTGCTGGGTATCATCACCATAAACCACTAAAATGTTGAGATACAAAACTAGCAACCTGTCATATAGAATGCAGATATGCCTCATGTAAAGTCGTAAATATCATGTACAAAAAAGTGATCAAAGCAGAAGAAAAAAATAATTCCACTTTATCAGTTTTTAAAAAAAAAAAAACATAAATGCACAGAACATGAATTATATCCATTTCAATTCATTTTGTTTCATCCCCCAATACAAACTATGGAAGCTCTATATGTCAAAGCACTTTTTACCAAAGGGAAACTGTGCGTCTGAGAAGGTGTATCAGTACTAGATTGTTTTTTGTTTATTTTTTATTTAGTATTGAATATCTTTCATGGTTTGGGAAATCCTGTCTTGTGCAAACAACAGGGCTGATACAGGGGCACCAGGCCTGGGTTGTATGTGGTTTGCACCTCCATCAGGTGCAATGCACAGCAATGGCTTCCCTGCAGCCAACGCACACCCTACACACCAGACAAACAGCCAACACACACACCCCACCCTGCCAGCACACTATGAGTGAGGACATAGGGAGAGACGCTCTAAGTATGGGCCCCAGTATTTATAAATACAATTATTTTGTGGGACATTAGAAGTAGACTCTGATGAGGGACATGTGGATTGGGTTACCACACTTTAGTCCCGAGGACAAGTTGATATTGAGATAGATATATTTTTTATTGAATTATTTTTAATATGTTTAGTTTTTATGTTCCACATCACTACCCTTTAAGGACTTAACATATCAACACAATTTCTCTTGCAATTCCAGTATAGCTTTAAATACATACACCCTTATGTTGTAAAATTGCACTAATATAATTAGTCCGTAGGAGTATTTGTTATCAGAGCAGCTTCCAAAAACAACCATTTTAATGAGTGATAAATGGAATAAATAAAATATGCATAATATGACAGGGTGAAACGCTGTCCTAGACTCCAGTAGGGGTATTTTTAGGATTGCTTTATTAAAACACAAAGTATTATAGACAAAATTTCTCTCCGTGGAGAGCGCTTGCTACATAACCTGCCATGAAGTTAAAGCCTTTAAGGCATACAGAAACATCCAAATGTTCTGGAATGAGCAGCGCTAAATGAGACCTTTATATGGTGATTTAAATCGCGATTTCTGCAATGTAGTCCGAGCAGGGCTAAATGACTGCTCATACCAAGAGAACCCAGATATCAATCAATACCTAGCGATTCCCCTTTTCAGCTGGGGCAATTTTTAGAGGCCCCAGACTGGCAGATGTGCTACATTCAGCGCTGAAAATGAGCACTGAACAACAAAAACAACCACAAAAATTGATTAGTTGAATAGACAAAAAAAAAAAAAAAAGCATTGGGATCAAAATTGCCTAATAAAAATTTGGTTAAAGGAATATTATTGTGTCAGGAACACAAACATGTATTTCTGACCCTATAGTGCTAAACATACTATTAAGAGACGCACACCCCCAACCCCCCAAGCATGAAAAACTATCACAAAAAACTGTGGATCTGCAATTAACACAGAAACATTTTATGAATGTTGTCACCTCCAGTCTGGAATGGGCCTTAAAGGATCACTATATGGTCAGGAACACAAACATGTATTCCTGACCCTATAGTGAAAACCCACCATTTAGGTGGCTTGCCCCCCTAAATCAAATCAAAATTGCAGATTTTTAGCCAATCCAATGCTTTCCTTTTGACCAATCAGCACCTCCTCATAGATATGCATTGAATCAATGAAGCTCTGTGAGGAAAATTGAATCAATGCATCTCTGTGAAGAAAATTCAGCGCCCCCACCGTGGGGACGCTGAACAGCAGGGCTGCTTACTGTGCAGCCCTGAGCCAGGAAGCCCCTTCAGTGGCCATCTAAGGAGTGGCCACTTGGAGGTGTCCCTAGAGGCAATGTAAACACCGCCTTTTCTCTGAAAAGGCAGTGTTTACATGAAAATGCCTGAAGGGCATTAAGCTCTAGTAGTTCTGTTGACTATAGTGTCCCTTTAACCCCTTAAGGACCAAACTTCTGGAATAAAAGGGAATCATGACATGTCATGGGTCCTTAAGGGGTTAAAGCAAAATTTTGCCTAGCGTTTTCTTTATGCGATAGATATAAATTATTTATACTTCTGAAAAGGCCATAGTAACATGTAGCGATGCCTCATGTATAATCTCTTCAGAATACACCAGAACATCATGTTCATGTCACCTTCCAGAAGTATAGTTCTAAAACTTCCACAAAGACACACCCTGCCGTTAGCAACAATAGGTGCTCAATGAAAGCCTGCACAATGCGTTACTTCATAATCACTTATCTGTTTAGTGACAGCTCATTTTCCGGGTAGCCCACCTTTGGCTGTATGAGAATAATGGGGAACATTCTATTGACACAAACCATTAAAAGGTTGTACGCTAACAATTAGCAATAAAAACAAATATGGACCAACCAGTTCCAAAATCAGAAAAAAAGATAGATGTTCACTGTTTCTAACATTGACAGCACTGGCATTCAGCTTGCTGAAATGCATTAAAAGTTTAAACCAGAGCATGGAACTTGCTGTGCATGCGCCCTGCATCCCAATTCTTTCTTAACTGAGAGATCATCAGTACTGGCAAGTGGAGCAGAGGTATAGTTGTCTTGAAAGTGCATAACACTTTTAAAGGAAGAACATTCTTAAATCTTGTTAAAATGACCAATATCTTTTAGTATGCTCGAGCCATCGAAGGCAAAGCGTTGATCACCATTTAGAAACTCAGACAAAAAAAAATAAATTAACCTTGTTTGACACTATGGTCTCCTGTATATGTTACTTTTCCTTTGTCAGGCATTTGTAAGTCATTAAGATGGGTTGATGCAATGGATCTCAATGAGGATATCCTGATTGGGGAAGCGCTGCAATTTGCCACTCATATGCAATATGTCTTTGTTAAGATCCTAAAAAAATATAACAGCTACCAAGAAGGCACGACCAGCCGCCGCATGGGAGAAACGGTAAGTAAAATCACTTTTACTCTCTGGAGATATGGGAGTCAGGGACCTAATGCTGCACTACACTGTTAATACTATATGTTTGTATTCCTGACATTAGTATTCTTTTAACCATCTCTAATTTTTTTTTTTTTTACTCCCTCAGCTCTGTTACCTTTCTCCAACCCGTGAGGTCATTTTGAGTCATACTGGGTTTAAATTAGCTGTTATCTGAATCAAGACCACTTTCACCCACCCAGTTACTCTGCATTCACAAATCAGTGAACAGCTAGGCAGTTTTCAAGACAGCTTAAATTTCCACTCAGTAAAACCAAATGCTCAAAGCATCGAAAGTATACCAAGATTATGCAAAACTGCTGTGAAGGCATAGAAATAGCAACAAAAAAAGGCAAACAATTATATATAATAAAAAATTAAATAAAAAAAACAACATCAGCGGCCAGAGAGGATACCGGAGGGTCCTCTGTCAGCTGGGGCCACAATTAGTGCCCTCATACAGACAGATGAGCTATCTGCAGTGCTCAGCCATGGCGATTGAGTTTGCCTCCCGTATGTGGGAGACCCCAAGGGACTGAAATAGTGAGGTCTCCTTACATGTCTTTGCCCAGTTATTAGTGCCCAGCACCAAACAGTTTCAGGATGAGATAAAGACATCCCTCTCATGTTCACAAGGCATTCTGTACTGTGTGAGCTTTGAAATCCCTGATGAGTAGGAATAGGGGATGGGACTAGGGGTATACACATGGGTTATTTGTACTCGAGAACAATAGCAGAATACAAATATGAGGTGTTGTGGGAATCAAATGCTCATTGAATTTCCCCAAAGTACAATGTGTGAAAAACCACAAAGAATTAAATATTTTAACATAGATTTGGGATAAAATAGTTAAATGAAAAGTGTCAAAATGTGTTGTGCTTAAATAGCCTTAGGAATGTACTGTCAAACATATTTTGGATTATGTGACTACTATAAAGTTGTAATGTCAGGATGCCAAGATTTGCAAAGTTTTAGGTTTAAAACCGTAATTCCCTCCTTGCGATATTTGTTTTATTTAAAATCCTAGACATACTGGGCATTAACAATCAGGACTAATTAGTGAATCTGTTTTGAGTTAGTTTTCTTTAGTAGCACTTGTGTATAAATTATTAAATGTAAGATTGCGGAAAATAGATATACATGTATACACACAAAAACATACATTGCAAGTATTCTGCAAATATTACTTAAATTTCAAGAAATTACTGCAACATTACATATAATAGGAACAGAATATGAAGTATAATCAAATCTAATTTTAGCTAATCGCTACACCAATTGTGCTCATACTAAAACATTTACAAAACCCGCAGTATTTGCGGTATTTAATGACTATATGCTGCATTTAACAAAAGGTACAGACTATAGAGGTTCAACGAGCCTATAACAGTGGCTTTCCAATCTTTTTTGGGTCAAGGCAGACTTTGATAAGAAATATTTCCAAGCTGCTTATAAATGTCACATTTATGTGATGCCTTACTACAGAGATATGCACACTTCTAGCCAAATTAGCTTTTTAGGATTAATTAACTACAACATGGGAATCTAATTTCAATGCAGGTACGTACTAAAACCACATTCGAAGGACTGTAATTCAACTTATATTAAAGTCAATATGCTTGTGGCGCACTCAGGTGGCTTGAGACACCCAGTTTGAAAAATACTGGTCTAGAAATGCATCCAAGCAGGCAAAGTACAGTGTCATTCAAAAACTTTTCTTTAGTTTCAAGAATACGAGACAGGACATAATCTCAAACATCTCTCAAAGAAAAAAGGGTCAATTCATTTTTGTCATGTTTTAACTGCCAAAGAGCAGTGAATTCACAAAGTACACCAGAAGTAAACTGTAGGAAATACTGTACAACGCAAACTTCCTGTTTTAGGATTGCATGTTATTTTATTTAGGAGATTTAGCACATTAGCAGGGTTCAAAATTTCCTACTCACCCTTGGCGAGTGAAAATTTACCCTTCGTTTGTATGCTGTAGAGGGGGATTGAGAAAGATAGAGACACACACACATAACCTCTTTAACAGCAGTTTCCTTCATTTTAACACATTTTTAACCCTGAACTATTTTCTTGAAACGCAACATTATTTTCATTACGATATCCACTATTGCGGACCATAAAATCTAAAATATCAGAGCAACCTTCCTCAGCCAAGGACTACCTAAACAGTCTTCCTTCCACAGAAATCTTCACACCAAGTAATCAAGCCTTGCCACCTACCATGCCAAAAATCACACACTTTCTATTGTCACCTCCTTTGAGGTACTTTAATTGTTAACTCTGCTGGCTGCCATCTTAATTGCCACTGCCTTTGATAGAAATGATATTCACACTTTTTTCTCAACATTGGCACCTCTGGCACTACCCTCTTTTTCTAATGTTACCTTTCTGATTACTACGTTTCTCTCAAGAAGCCATCCTTTCTTTTCCTACACTGAGTGCATCTTTTCCTACCACTAACATGGTCTCTTGAATATGCTTACACTAAACAAAAACTGTTGTCTTTCCCTGAACCTTCCAACACTCACAGGCTGTAAGCTGGGTTCCACCTGTAACTCTCAGATATTCTTTGATAAGAATACATCCACTGCTCTAGCTACAGGCTAATCTCGCTGCTGAATGCCGACCTAAAATTGTTCACGAAGGCTCTCTCACTGAGGATATCCCGGATCCTACCAGGCCTGATCCACCCAGATCAGGTTGGCTTCATTCCATCCCTAAATCGTTCCCTACATGCAACGGGACCCGCCAGGGCTGTCCCCTGTCCCCCCTCCTGTTTGCCCTCATCCTGGAACCATTCCTGGAGGCGGTCAGACGGGATGGGGGCATAACAGGGGTTCAGGTGGGCAACCTTGAACAACCCCTGATCTCGGTGCCCAACCTACTGCAGGCTTTCCGTAGCTTCCGCCAAGTATCCAATCTGAAACTCAATCTTGATAAGTCGGAAGCAATGCCGATAATGCGGAATGAAGACGATGTCCAAAGACTCAGTGCCCAATTGACTTTTTCATGGTGCGCAGTGAAGATGCGCTACCTTGGCACCTGGCTACCGAAAGACCTGGCGCAAACCTCCCCCTCCTCAAGAGCATACAGCAGGACCTCCAACGCTGGACGACAAGCTACATCACCTGGTTTGGCCGTATTAATGCAGTCAAAATGAATGTGATGCCACGGCTGCTGTACCTCTTTGCCACCTTGCCGATATCAATACCACACTCATTCTTCAAAGCGGTAGAATCAGCCATCCTCGGGTTTGTTTGGAACCACAGACCTTCGCGCATCCGCAGGACAGTCTTGGAGAGGCCCAAGCTGGCTGGGGGGCTGGGGCTGCTGTCGGTGTCCACTTACTACAGAGCTACGCATCTACACAGAATAATTGACTGGCATGTCAGCTCAAGCCCCAAACACTGGGTGACCATGGAACTCCAGCAAACGCAGGGCCGGATCCCCTCGAAACTGTGGCTGTGGGGAGCCACATTTCCAGAGTTACGCACAGGCAACCCTTTGATTGATGCGACCCTCAAAACCTGGTGCAAAACACACTACACCCAGCAATTAACAACCTCACTGAGCCCACTGACCCCTATCACGTGCAACCCGGACGTGCCGGGGGTTTACCCCCGGCGGCGTTCGGGAACTACCAACAAACGGATTGGATTTACGTGGGCCGGTGGTGCTCGGGGCTTCTACCACTACACGACCTACTAGGAGACTTGCAACCCACCCAGCTAGATAAATTCTGCTATCACCAGGTGCAGACGTATGTTGCTAGATTGGCTGGAAAAGACCATCTGCACAGGCCACTCTCGGGCTTTGAGAGGCTATGCACGAACAGGAAACATGTGGAACATGGGGTATCACTCCTATATGGGACACTGCGGGGGACCATGGACAACAGCCCCCTAGGATACACGGGCAAATGGGAACGGGAAATCGGCACACAACTCACGGATCAAGAATGGGACAAGATAGTCCTCCTAACCCATAAATGCTCTATCAGCTCAAAGATTCAAGAGACCAGTTACAAGCTGCTCTCACATTGGTACCGAACGCCCGATACCCGGAGGCACTTCGACGTCAACAATACGGGCCTATGCTGGAGGTGCGGCTCAGCCTTGGGAACGAACCTACATATCTGGTGGGCGTGCCCACGCATAATGGTATACTGGCAGCAAATCAATACAAAAATCAAAGAGGTCACGGGGGATGACCTTCCCTTATTGCCCATGACGATGCTCCTACACCACACACCTATCCCCACACAGAAATACAAACACTCCCTAACAATTCACTTGCTGAACGCTGCAAAAGAGTTGATACCCCTGCATTGGAAAAGTGCATTGACACTGGGTAGACAATGGGTAGACAAAGTTGAGACGATATATGACATGGAGATACTGACGGCCTCCCTGCAGGGAGCTCGGACAAATGTGCACTAAAGTGGTACCCGTGGAGGCAGTATATCTCTACAGGAAGGGCCTAAAAATTGGGAACAGACGCGGGGCTCGGGTAGACGGGACCGAACGAACAGATGCGCCGCCATGGAACCTGTGCCGCCAGGTCGCGAGAAGTGCAGGCGCTCGGGGGGACCTAACCCGGGCAGCAGACACCCACCCGTACCAGTATATACCTTAACCCACCTCACCCACCTCCTACTGGACAGCCCTTCACTCCCCACTGTACTGAAAAGGGGACAAGGCTAGCCTTGCCCTAGCAAGACAACGCCCAGACAGACTGACGAATCTGAGGTCGGACACAAGAGAGGAATAAGTACCGGCTGAACGGACTGGGCCCGACACCCGACACACGGACAAAATCTCGCTAACGTGGAAGACAAGTAACTAAACATGGGGGCACGGGAACTAGTAGTCGCACAGACAAGGGCACTGGGACACAAACGGGACCTAACACAACGTAAGCCGAATCAATACATAGCTTACTACCACATGACATGTTGAGGGCGACCGATACCCCCCACTAATGAGCTATTGACTCTGCACACTCCGCAGGATACAGAGGTTAGACTCGGATGAGGTGGTACCCAGGCAATCCCACACTGACAGAGCTCACCCAAAGGCCAATTTGACACTAGCAATGGGAAACCAGGGAGACACCCTAGCCAAAATGAGACAAGAGCTATACCGACGACTAGGGGGAGGTAGACCACATAGACCACATGGCATCGTCCACGGATTTATTGCACTGGGACCGGGCAAGACATCACCTGAGTCAAGCTTAACCCTAAGCACGACAGACTAAGCGAACATAGTTACCAGGAGATGTGCTTCCTCACTACGTTATGTATGCAAACAGAGTATATATGCTCATTCTTGCTAACCACGTCTCTATGTATGTCACATGTACAATGTATTCTTGTTGTTATCCTGAAAAATGCAATAAACAATGATTGACCAAAAAAAAAAAAATACATCCACTGTTACTTCTATTTGCAGCTATCACCTTGGGCATCTAGAAAATCCACCTATTTCTCAACACCTCTGCAGCAAAACCCCTTATCCATTTCTTGACTACTACAACTACCTTTGCTTATCCATAAGCAACATTCAAGTTAAGCAAATTCAAGACCGCAGTCTGTATTCTTTTCAACTAACCGGGTCTGCTCATGTGAAGCATTTTCAAACATCTTATTCTTGTATACAAATCCCCCTACAGCCTCACTCCTCTGCCCACTCTTCAATTATACCTTTACCTGTCCTCTCCGCTCCCTCACTTACAAATCACATGGCCACTAAAATCACCCAGACCAACTTTTCATAACAATTATTATGTTACTTTTCTATTTAATTCACCCATACTTAGCACTACTTAAAGAAAAGAGTAAGATTTCTCCCCACTACTAGTTGGCCACCTCTTGCTCATCATCCCAATAGTTCCAGACAGGCCTCTTTGCTTCAAACAAAAGCTTTGGCTGACTTAATGACTTGTCGTACCACAGTTCTCAGTCCACATGAACTGAATGAACCTTCTCTTCCCATATTCTTTGCCCCCACCCTGTGTAAACATCATCCTGAGCAATACCAACTCCTCCACCAATAACTCCACCCCACAGTTTCCTACAGTTTTTACAATTCCACATGCCCTTTGACTCATTTATTTTATACATAACCTATTTGACCCTTAGTGATTTATAATGTAAGTAATGAATGTAATTAAAACTTAATTTTCATGAATGCATGATTGGTAATCTATGTAAATCTGTTCAGATAAAGAATTGTCAACTAAAATAAATACAAGATGTTTCCACAGAATACTGTACTTAGAATATGGCAAATATACATGCTCTGATTGAGCTTATATTGTTAGGCTACAATAAAAGAAAGTGCAACAAACTCTCCTGTGGCTGCACCTGGTGGGGCCAAACTAAATACTGAAAATGAGCAGTTACATCTGTTTGAGCCACAAATCGGAAGCTGCATTTCTCATAATGCAAATTATTCTTATTTTACACAACACAGTTTGTACTTATAATAACCGACATGGATTTCCTCACATGGTACATGCTACGTTACCCTTTCATTATACAGGGTGCAGCAGCATCACAAAGAATCAGTCCTGCAATACTGCTTGACTGACCAACACTGAATGATCTTCCTGGAGGCCAACATCAGTAATGACCTGTTTTAGCTGTCTGCATCACGTAATCACTGTGATTGGTGCCCAGGTTGAGTTATCACTGAGAGCCAAAGAAACATAGGTTTTCAAAGCAGTTAACAAGGCCAATTGTAACTTTCACTGCCTATAGAAATTCACACTTTAACCCCTTAAGGACACAGAACATGTGTGACATGTCATGATTCCCTTTTATTCCAGAAGTTTGGTCCATAAGAGGTTAATAATTTTCGTTATATCTCAAGACAGCCCCCTGATTAACCCTTTGTGGTAACTTTTTTCTATTGCTGTTCCCCCTGCCCAGCACCGATCCACTAATCCTAGCAGTACTGGAAAAGACAATCAGCACGAGAATAGAGGTGGGGGTCTAGTGCACAGAAGCCAAGGTGCTGACATTGCAAAGATACAATTCAGGAAGATGTTAGCAGGTACAGTATATACGGAGAGGCTAAACCAAGCTTATTATGTAGAAGAGAGATCAGTAGAAATACATAGTTATATATTAGAGTGCGATGCTGCATAAACTTGTTTGTAAAGATTAGGCAGATAGTTAAAAAAATGAAAATGTCAGCTACCTCTGCCTTCCAAACAGTAAAGAAAGTTTCAATATGTTATTCTGTTCCTACAGTAAGAGTGAGGGAAGGCTGGCAGAGCCATTGTTAGCATAACATTAGCATTCCAGAGATTGACAAAGATTACTATAGCACCTTTTTTTAAAGTAACAATATAGTTAAATCATAGATTTCTAAAATATAGTGTGTGTGGGCTTTATGCCGAAATACAGACATTTTATATTTTGTTGCCATTTTTAGTAAGCTGCAATGCTTACCAGGAATGTCATCAAGGTTCTTACAAATACCTATAAGCAGGCTGCTTATTTATGTCACACCTACTTCATATGAAGTAGGTGTGACATATGCTTTTACGCTACCATGTCAGACTCTGAAATACCGCAAGATAAATAATACTGCAAGACAAAACACTAAAGATTTTCATTCCTTCAAAATTTATACAAGGATGAAGAAGAAGAAGAAAAAAAAAAGGAAAGAAAAAAAAAACTTGTAAATTTGTACATTGGTCTGAAATGCAAACTACACAAAACTTCTGTTTTATTATGTGTCAGTGCTCGCTATGCACATCCCTTGTTTCAAATAAATGTTATTGTAATTTTTTTTTCAAACAAATACGTGCCTGTTAGCATATAGGTAAATTGCATTCATATGTTTAAGTGATATTTTGATCATCCAGAAAATCTAAAATTTTGAAGGGTTTTGTAGCACCTTGAGGAGGCTGAAGCAAATACATGATATCACACCAATAAGGTAGGACAAACCAAAATTAAAAATAAAATGTTCTTCATATTAAACAAACTCACAATTCAGCATTTTACTGGGAATGCACATTAAGAAAACCTACACAGAACAGCATACATGATATCTGATCAGTTTGGCAACAAAGAAAAACTTCAAGAAGGTATTCCAATCCAGAAAAGCCAAAACAGTAAAGCTATTCAAAATTTCTAGTTCTCATTCAAGAGGAAACGGTCAGATGTTTTTACATTACATCAGGCTCAAGACACCACATGCAAGGATTTTCAATTTCATTTTGCTGGTGTGACAGCAGTATGCCAAGTGCTCTAAAATTATATAGAGGATGCATAACAGCAAAGCATGTGTTAGGGGAAAATAATGTTATTGAAAGGGATCCACAACTCTGAGATAGCTTTATTTTCCTGTAATACACATTTCACATCCTTAAAATTATGCAATTTTTCTGTGTTTTTTTGTTTGTTTTTTTAGAGTTGGGGCTCCTTTAATCTTATGACAGCAGCAGGGCATATTTATATATTTTTCTGCCTGCCTGAGATTGATAACAATTGTACTCCTGGGCAGCAGATACTATTTGTGGCTGTTGTCCTTAATTCAGCCTCAATTCCTTAGGTGACATGCAAAGATTTAGGGAGAGAAAATAGTGCTATCTGCCCCCACCCCTTGCCCGATTCCCATGCATCACTGAACTAATAGCAGCAGCTGCTGTAAAAGAGTATAACTCCCACTTATCTCAGGAATCTATGTTTCTAAAGGGGTATTCTAAGCAACATAACTACAGCTCATTGAAGCAGTTATGGTGCAATGTTTCTGCAGACATTTAAAATAATATAAACCAAACAAAAAAACCTAATAAACGTCAAATGGAAAAAAAATTATTATAAACCATTTACAAAATTATGCAATTTAAATTACCGCTATAAAATACAATGTACTAAAATGGTTTCGTTTTATCTAGAAGACAATACTGATATTTCATAGATATTTTTCTTAAACTTACAAAAGGAAAAACAAGCTAATATTGACAGTAGTATAAGTAGTTATATGAAAATTATATTAAGTATATTAAAAAATATGTATAACAGTACAAGCTAGTTCAAATTCACCAGTAATAAAAGGATACAAATACATGGCAAGGTAAGTACCCCTGTGTTAAATGATACACATTGTTAAGTTTGATTTCTTGTTATTTATAGAAATTCTGGCATGGTTATGTCCCTTGAGGTTACAGAAACATATTTGCTTTTTGAAATGGCAGAGAAAATGCACTCCGGAACTATTAAAAATTCTGCAAACGCACGTTTTGGCATTTGTATCACTTATAACAACTGCAAGATTTCTGGTTATCATGCCATGTAACCAAAAAAAAAATGGAAACAAACTTTTATATTTTACAACACATTAATGGCTAACAGTCTGCATGTGTAATTTTGATATTTTTCAGTCATGTGTATGAACAAGTTGTCTCTTGTCATTTCATCATCTGCTGCCACTGCATCAAATTCAAATGATGTGTGATTACTGTAAATTAAGTATATTTTCCTTTCAGAGACAAATACTGGAAATTGCCCTTAGAATGATATTATGAGTCCACATCAAGGAAACCACTTCATTCATCCGACACTCAACCCATTTTATGATTAGCTTTTATGATTCACTTTGCATAATCCACAAGTTGCAAAAATGAGCCAAAAATGGCCTGCTTGTTTTATGTAAATTTGCGTGCTGCATTGCCATGGATAACACGTTCTTAATAAGCTCCCACGGTTGATTGTAACATGTAGTCATGATAATTTTAAAGATGAACATTTTTCAGAGACACATCTTACTACAGTATCACAACCCACTGGTTCCCATATTTCCTGCTCTAGCCAAAGGGCAAAACAAACCCCATTTTCTTTGAATGCACTTATGCTGCGGACTTAAGTTCCAGAAATTTGTACATCTCCTTCAGGAAGGAACTGAGTAAAAACAAAACAAACAAAAAACTCAATCTCAAGAAAAGATGCTTATTTATAAATATATAAATCTGGCATCATGGGGAGTAATGCAAGACCACTTCCTTAAAGTTTTGGGGCCCTAACCTCCAATCTAATTATGTCCTGATTTGAGAGAGTAACGCTCTCACGCAACAGATGGTTCCATATTAACTCAGCTCCTTTCCAAACTGAATTAATGATAAAGCTACCACCCAGAAGAATAACTATAAAAAAAAAAAATAATAATCTTGGACAGCACCAGGATAAGAATGCCCAAACACTACCCTAGAAGTATAACACTGGCCTTCTTAAAAACAGTTATTCCAACCACCACAACCACTTTTGTTTTAGAAGTGATCACGGTGGTAGCAATCTGTATGTGGCAGCCTGGAACTCCCAGACTACCTAAAATCAATATTGAGCAAAAAATTTGTTGGTCTTCAGCACACTGGCAACGGACGTGTAATTAGATCCTTCACTTGCAGACAAGCTGTGAGAGTTAAAGCCTGACCCCACCTGCTCCCTCCAACCAGCACCTCCTAAGCGACTGGAGCACCTCCTAAGCTTTAGCTGAATTCATTGTTCATGAACGCGAACATCAAGCACATGTGTTCAGTGGTCCCACAATGCTTCTAGGACAGTGGTTCCCAACACAGTCCTCAAGTACCCCCTAACAGTCCAGGATTTAGGGATTACCCAATTGTGTCTAAGGTATTTTTAGAAAGAAAACAAAAGAGAAAAAAAAAAAACACTAAACACTAAACACAGCAGGGTAATCCCTAAATCCTGGACTGGAAGGGGGTACTTGAGGACTAGTTTGGGAACCCCTATCTATGAGTAGCATTTAATTGGAAGAGCCCCAATCATGAAGGACTTGGCCTAGCGCTGGTTTGCAGGTCAGTTTGAAACCTTTTATTGCAAATTATTTTACAACAAAAAGTGTGGGAATTGGTGCAAAGTGCCTAATAGGGCATATATAGTTAAAATTAAATATTAAAATATAAATCTGGTTGGAGTAACCCATTAACCTACAAATGTACACTTGCCTGGGAATGAGAAAGTGTAGGAGTACAAAATTGTCAGTAGAAAATAAATAAATCCTGCAATTTAACCACGAACCTCTGCAGGGAGAGCTTGAATTTTGCCTTTGAAAAAATGCTTGCCTGAATCTGCTTGTTTATACTACAGTTTGGTCTTCACAATGGATTGATTACCTTGCCATTCCCTCAATTTCACGTAAGTCTGCAATACATGATGAATTAATGTATCAAACAGAAGTAATGGGAACTAAAGCATCTTGCACAGAAAAAAAAAAACATGCATGTTAACTTAAAATAGTTTTTTTCTGTATTGCTTAGAAATATTCTAACAACCTAAACTCTATAAATTTACTTAATCTGTGAGCATTAAAAATTATATCCTGTACAATAAAAAATGAAAAAATTGGAATTTACACAATAGAAATTGCAGAGGATTGTGAATTGAAAGGGAATAGCAAATATATATTAAAGGTTTAGCAAGTTACATAATACAGTTGAGACAAGGCAATACCAGTTAAAACAACGCAAATGAAAAGGAGACATAGAAAAATTGTTACATATTTGTTTAAAAACCTTCGAAAGCAACAGCTCCATTTAAGAGAATATATATTTAATTAAGATTTTCCGCTTTTCTGTGCAGTTGAGTGGCAATTTTTACACAATATCTATGAATTGTGCTGACAATATTTATGTAAATTTTATAGGCAAACTTCTGCCAAATTTTAATAGAAAACCTACTAAATTGGTTAGCACCCGAGAACATAAAGGGCTTTAGCATGGGGTGGGATATGGTGATTGGAATAATCATTTAAGGCAGGGGTTCCCATCCATCTCCTCAAGTACCCCCTACCAGTCCAGGTTTGAGGGATTACCCTATTGTGTCTCAAGTGTTTTTTGTCGTTTTTCTTCTTTCTAAAAACACCTTAGACACAACTGGGTAATCCATTAATCCTGGACTGGTAGGAGGTACTTGAGGACTGGGTTGGGAACCACGGCTTTAAAGAATTAAAGGGACACTATAGGGTCAGGAACACAAACATGTATCCCAGACCCTATAGTGTTAAAAACACTTTAGGTAGCTTGCCACACCCCCGTTCTTAACAGCTTTTAAACCCCCATAAATTACCTTATTTCAAGCGTCGCATGGGTCTGCTTGCATTGGGCCCGCCCCCAACCTGCCTCCTTGTTGGCATCAGAATTAAATAATTTAAGTCAATCCAATGTTTTCCCATAAGGAAAGCACTGGATTGGCTGATATTGGCAAGGAGGTGGGACAGGGGCAGGGCCAAATCAGCACCTCCAAGTTCAGTGCCTCCATGCAAAGCAGCACGGTCTCAGAAAGCACCTCCAATGACCGTCTGAAGAGTTGCCACTGGAGGTCTCTCTAGGGAGTAATGTAAACAATGCATTTTATCTGAAAAGGCAGTGTTTATATGAAAATGACTGGATATAATGATTTTACCCACCAGAACTACATTAAGCTGTAGTTGTTCTGGTGACTATAGTGTCCCTTTAACTTTTATTTCTAGCAAACATTTTAGCTTTACTAAAAAACAAAAACTAAATTGAAATGTTGACCATCAATGAACAATTTTATTTATTAAGCACATAATTGTTGCAAAATAAATATTTCCTAAATACTAAAAACCTAGCTTTGATTCTCTTGGAAACTGGCAACAGCAGCCAATGAAGGTCCTTCTGCCTTTTCCCAGCACTTCCTTGTTCGTGCTGGGCACGGTTAAATTAAATGCTGCTCAGAGAAGCATTGAGAACAAATCTCATAAAACTCCGAAATAGGCGATTTCATTGAGATTTAGGTATACAGGTAAAAAATAAGACTTTTTACTGTATCAGTTCAAGTTTTAAGTTTAAACGGTCACTTTACAAGATTTTTAATATTAGTTTTACGTATCGTTATATTTTTAAAAGAATTATAAACGCTAAAAAAAAAACAAAAAAAAACACATTTCTATTAATGCGTAAAAGTTCACATCTCTTTATACTACATCCGAGCAATAAAATATTAACTCCCTGTCAGTAATTGTTATAAGCTCTGCACTTTGCAAATGGCAGACAGCATAGGAAAGCATACAAAGACAACGAGAAATAAAATATGTTTATAAAAAAATTTCTATTTCTCTTCCTTATTTACAATGTTTGCACTGGCTTTGTCTGAACTGAACAGGATTGTGATATCAAAAGCTAAATTTTTATTTAGCTTATGTAAAAGAAAACAGAGCATCACATCAAGATTATTACAATAGGTGATTTTCAATGGCGTAATTTACCAATAAATTATAGTTTTCTCCTTTGAGTATTCACTTTTATGTGTCCATTGAAAGGATGACTCGCTATATAAAGTCATGTACTAAAATTCTTATCAAAATCATTTAACCACTGAATGAGGTTGATTGGATATTAGGCATAAGCTGTTTTGCAAGCTGTTCACACACGATTCCCCTGCATCAGATGTGCATTTTAACTCTCACCATCCTAAGCTTGAAAAATCACAGGGCATGCAGCGGGCAGCAAAATCTTCACTCAATTTAATAGGTGGAATTCCCAAGACTGGCTTGAAGGGAGACTAAGCACCAAGTCAACTTTAGCTTAGTGAAGCCATTTTTGTGTATTATTATTACAGGTATTTATATAGCCCCAACAGATTTTGTAGCGCTTTACAATATTATCAGAGGGGAAGATTTAACAATAAATGAGACAATTACAAAAACTTACAGGAACAATAGGTTGAAGAGGGCCCTGCTCAAATGAGCTTACAGTCAATAGGAGGTGGGGCGTAAAACACAACAGGACAGGAGGTAGCAATCAAACAAGGTGGAGTGAAGCAGAGCTGGAGGAGAGAATAGAGTTCTGCCCTTTAGGAGAGAGCAAGAGACAGGTATTTGAGGAAGAGGTTACTCTGGGACGTCGTAAGCTTTCCTAAAGATAGGTTTTGAGGCACTTTTTAGATGATTGGAGACTAGGGGAGAGTCTGATGGCGGTAGGCAGGCTATTCCATAGGAAAGGAGCCGCCCGCGAGAAGTCCTGCAAGCGTGGGTTGGCCATACGGGTGCTAGCAGCGGACAGGAGAAGGTCATGGGCAGAGTGGAGAGACCGAGAAGCAGCATACCTGTGGATCAGTGAAGAGACATAGGAGGGGCTAGAATTGTTCAGTGCTTTATAGGTGTGGATTAGTACCTTGACTTTACTCCTATAGGATACAGGAAGTCAATGTAAGGACTGACCAAGAAGAGCGACAGGAGAGGAAAATAAGTCTAGTTGCAGCATTCATAATAGACTGTAGTGGGACATTGCAACTTCTGGGAAGACCAGTTAGGAGAGAGTTACAATAATCCATGCAAGATATTACTAGAGCATGGAAAAGCTCCTTAGTACTGTATAGATCAAGTCTATGCAGTCTCACTGCTCAATTCTCTGGCATTTAGGAGTTAAATTGCTTGTTTCCGTTAATGAATTCCTAGTCACACCTCCCCTTGCTGGAAATCACACAGCTTGCATGAAAAAAAGGAAATTAAAAATTTCAAGTTTTTCCCTTCTGTTCTATTAATTCAACTTTTAATGACACACAAGCCTTCTGCAGGTTCTAGCAGATTAAAGTAAGAGATAAAATTCTAAATTAAACAGACTGTACAATAAAGGAAGTTTAAAGGATCACTATAGTGCCAGGAAAACACACTCTTTTTCCTGACACTATATAACCCTTAGATCTCCCCCACCTTCAGCGCTGAAGTGGTTAAAACCCCTTCAGTTACTTTAATCCAGTGCGGGCTCCCTCGGCGCTGCTGACCTCTCCTCCCCCACCAGCGTCAGCTCCCGAGTGGAGTGGTATGCGCATACACAGCAACAGCCACACGCGCATTCAAACAGTCCATAAGAAAGCCTTTCTCAATGCTTTCCTATGGACGTTCTGCACGCTGAATGTGATTTTCGCATCCAGCGTCGCTAGCGGCTATCAGGAAGACAGCTACTAGAGGCTGGATTAATCTTGCAATGTAAACATACATCTGAAGGGTTAAAACCTGGGGGAGCTGGCACCCAGACCACTTCATTGAGCTGAAGTGGTCTGGGTGACTATAGTGTCCCTTTAAATGTTAGATCTCTCCTGGCAGGAAATGTGTAGGCCACATCTATGGGAGGCTCATAAATGGCAGCAAATTGTGCAGATATACAGAAGGGACATGATCTATACGTCAAATCCACTCTATTAAGCTAAAGTTGTTATACTGCTTATAGTGTCCTTTTAACGTAGTTGTATACCACAAAGGTGGGTGGACAGTGATCGCATTGATATAAGGGAATATATATAGTCCCAAAATATCCAATGCTATTTCCAGGACTATAGCTTCCCTTTAGAGGGAGTGTCTAGGTTACAAATTTCATATTTGAAAGCATTTAAACAGTGCAGCAACAAAAAATAAAATATTAGTTTTCTAATTTTTCTAAATGTAATATTTTGAGTGATGGAATTTGGTTGGCAAACTTTCCAATTGTATACTGCACATGTTAGCTATACCCACCCCCTCTCTCTCCATCCTCTACCCATCCTAGCTCCTCCTGCTTCCTTCATATAATGGTGTCTCCTCTTCATCCCTGTTCCTTAGGCTTCACTTCACATACCCAGTACTAAGCAATCCTGAATCTTTCTATTTCCTCTAAACATTTCCCACCCACCATGTTCCTGCTAAATGTATAACACGCCTCACCTGCTATTTTAGTTCTTACTCAATTATCTCCTCATTTCCTTCACATTTTACCTGTAGCTGCAACTCTCTCCGTTAACCTCCTGTAGGCTTCACTTCCAAATTCCCCCTGCTATCCCTTGTCTCAAATTAAAATTACAGGCAATCTAACTAAGCACCAAGAGCTTCAATGGTTAGATCTCATCTCACGGGCAGGGTCCTCTATACATTTTGCATTGGTCTGAGTCTATTATCCATTTTCACCTAATACTGTTATGCTGTCGAATATGTTTATATGCTTTTTTATTATGCTTTTTAAATGCCTCCCTCCCCAAAATAAATAATATATAAAAAAATATACACACACACACACACACGAGTTAAAATAAGCACTTAGTAAAAAAAAAAAATATATATATATAGCCGAGAAATATTAAATATTTCTGTCTGAGTGCACACACTAGTAAAACAAGCAAGCAGACAAATGTCCTCAAAACAGTTCCACACAACATTCATTTTCCATTAAAGGCCCACTATAGTGCCAGGAAAACATACTCGTTTTCCTGGCACTATAGTGCCCTGAATGTGCCCCCACCCTCAAGGACCCCCTCCCGCCGGGCTCTGGGGAGAGGAAGGGGTTAAACTTACCTCTTTCTCCTGCGCCGGGCTTCCCTATGGACGCTTGCGTCTTCTCACTGTGATTTTCACAGTGAGAAGCACGCAAACGCCTCTTGCTTGGACAATGACTACAATGTGTTCTTACCTGAGGTCGAATGGGCTTACTGGGCTTAAGTTACCACAAATTAAGTGCTGCTAGATTTCCAGAGGTAGTAGTGGAGGCAGAGAGCAATGCCCGGCAGACCTGAGCTAGGAAGTCAGTGGAGCAAGCACTAGGACACTCCTGGCACTATAACCACTACAGCATGCTGTAGTTCTGAAAGATAAAAGGGGGCTACCGAAACACAAATGTAACCTAAAATATTATATTTAGCAGGTTGCATCGCAAACCCTGGAGATTAATGTTAACAGAGTCAATGTTTCTGTAAATATAAGCATGTAAGAAACCAAATCCCAAGGGTATGTATGGGCGAATTAATGTACGATCTAATGTCTGATAATAGAAAGCATTGAATGGATGCATAACAGTGTCACAAAAAGTAAAACTCAAGGCCTATTTAGAAGAGAACCTAGAATATTTTAAGAAGCAGTGTCGGTGAGACTCCTGCTTTGATCAATAAATACGCTACAATACAGACTGCAAGCTCTGCTGTGAGATCCTGCTTTATAGCAGATGGTGACAGTGCACTGCTCCCCAAAGGTTTCATATTGCATCATATTTTATTGATGTTTACAACAGACAGGTCACCATGGAGATAAAGGAATGAGACCTAGCTCAGAAAAGTTGCCTCCCTGACAGTCAAAGGATATGTAAAAATGTTCCTTGACTTGCCCCCAATGGTTTGGAAGGGAGCAAGCTGTCACTGCATGCTATAAAAGAGAACAACTCTCTCTTCTGCAACATCCTTACTCAGCAGTGGGAGGGGATGTGACATCATCACACTTCCACCCAGTACAGATGCTGCAGAGAAGCAGTGATCAAAAAAGCTGTTCGTCAGTCACTCCACAAAGGCACATCATGCTCCCCACTACCACCAGAAAGTATTTTACAGAGTTACATTGCATCTTTTTTAAAGACACAGTCTAAGAACCCTAATCACTATATGCTGCAGATACCATCAGCTGGATCAAACTGTTATGTTAATTAATATTGCTATTGCAAAGTAGATAGTCCATATTAGCAACAGGCCAGAAGAGTGCTTGTCCATAGGTGCCTTGCAGACCCTTGGTTTTGGTCCACCTGCTTTAAAAAAAACACAGCTAAATAAGTTTCTTGTTCACACACTATGAACTGCAATTTATTATTGGCAGATAGTGGCGACTGCCACGCAAGCACCGCAGTACCACAATGAGAAGAAATGCATTGGCCAGTATTTATCTCCTGCAGGTGCAGCGGCTCTTAAACTGGAGGTGGGAGGGTCCATAAACCTACCCAAAAATTTTTAACAAATTGAACCCCGTTATGATTTAAAGCAGGCACCTCAAAACCTTAATTTCAACTCCCATGATTATCTGTCCATCTATTGCATTCAATTTCAAAGAATTTGATGAGTTGTAAGCCATCAACATCTAGGAACCAGAATTTTGGATATTTCCTTTAAAGTTTACCTGTTGGGATTTACACAGGTATTGATAGATTAAAAATACATCAGATTCATTACATACATCATGAAAGCAAATTATTCTATTCTTTCCATCAAGAAGAGATCCCCACACCACATGCCAATTCTAAAACAAAGTTAGCATTGACCTCAGAAGCAGCCTCCAACAGGAGGTTGTAGCAATCTCCTTTAAGTACAGAGTGATTACATCTCAAGCCAGTGCTGCCTGCTTGTGCAGGCAAGAGAAGTATAGGAACAGAGGGTTACTCCATTCAGATGCACAATGCTTATGTATTTAATGTTTGTGTGTTCCTTTGGGCTTGTACATTATGCTCCCCTAACTAACTTCAACAAGTTGTGCGAATTAAAGTATTCAAGAAAGAAGTACCTCCGGTGGCTCATGGATAACCACTAGAGACGTGTTTTTTTCAAAAATGTTAACATTTTATTCCTCCCAGGTATTGCCAGGTCCCAAAGGCAACCAACACTTGTCAAGAAATTACACCACAGGAAAAAAACACTGACCATCACCTTTAACTAGTAACTTTTTACAGACAGGCACACATTCCACTTGTAGGATATAGACTGTAAGCTCGTTTGAGCAGGGCCCTCTTGTTCCTGTAAGTTTTTGTAATAGTCTTATTGTTAAATCTCCCCCTTTGATATTATAAAGCGCTACAGAATATGCTGACGCTATGTAAATACCATTAATAAAAATAATAGGAAAAGGTGAAAAAATTGAGGTTTATTGAAACCAACAGAAATTTGACCACTTTGGGCACTATAACTGTGTTCATTTGACCTAAATATTAATATATAGGCTAAAAGATGTGATTATAGACAAACTGGAGAAATATTCCAAATTAGCTATTGTAGCTTAAAATTTGTTATTCAAGTTTGAATTCCCTATAATTATGTATTTAGTGAATAAACCCCATTGCTTCTTTTTCTCTTTCACCTACTCTATTTCCTGATGCCCAGTGATTAACTCCACCTCCATTAAGATATTTGTCGGCCATAGAGTCCTCAACAAAACTTGCATCAAACAATGAATGGCCTTAAAATGTGAATGAATAAGATCTTGTTCCGTATTTTGCTTCTCCTCCTCATCAGCAAAGTTAGCACTAGCTTTGCACTGTCTGGCCTGGATTAAGAAGTAGTTAGCACAGAGCTTGACAAATTTGCTTAGAATCTAGGAGCCAGCTAGAAAAGTTAGGAAGGCTCATGTCTTGCTGAGGGAGGGAGGCGGGCGACAGGCTCATGGAGAGCTGTGAGAATATGGCAGGCGGCTGACAGAGGGAGTGGGGCGGTCGGCTCATTTATTGCTGAGGGAGGGTGCGGCCAGCCCATGGAGAGCTGAAGGAGGCGGACGGCCGGGTAATTGAGAGCAGAGGGAGGCGGGCTGATGACAATGCCGCGGCAAGGGAGCTATAATCTCAATGCTCTGCTCCCTCACGCGGCTTGCAGTGGAGCCAGGTTATGATGTCACTCCAGATCCCCATCTCACTAAACAGTGCACGAGAGGGAGCCGAGTAGGGAGATGACAGCAGCCCCACTGGAAACCAGCGAAAGCCTATCCACTCCAGCTCTCCAGAAGTAAGGAGGCTGGGTGGATTTAAATAAAGTAATTATTTGTGAGTGTGTCTTCCCTTCAAATCACATGGGAAAGGTGTTTTTACGCACCATTTTTCCCCATGCCATGCTGATGACGCTGCGGCTGGCTTCACCTCCATGGCTGAGATAATCAATCTTGACGATCTCAGCCAATCCAATGCTTCCCCATAGGAAAGCATTGGAAGACTATTGCGCATGCACGGCAAAATGCCACTGCGCCAATTAAAGTTCTCATACAGGTGCATTGAATCAATGCATCTCTATAGGGAACATTAACATAGGTGCTGCACATTGTGAAGCACTGACCCAAGAAGCACCACTAGAGGTGTTACCGGGCAGCAATGTAAACACTGCCTTTTGTCAGTGTTTACATTGAAAAGCGTTCAGGGACAGGATATAGACTTCAGATCGACTGCATTAAGCTGTAGTGGTTCTGGTGACTAATGTCCCTTTAAGAATTGTATTTTTGGTGTTAATTTCTCTGGCTCTTAACTTTTCTAGCTGGCTCCTAGATTCCAAGCAAATTTGTCAAGTCCTGAGTTAACACAAGTTATAGTAGAGTTTCAATGTTTTATTCAATGGTGTAAATACCAGAAGTGACTGTTCCCCTTTAACTCCCAACAGAATTGACAAACGGAAACATGCAGAAATGGATGATATACAGTTAAACTGAAATCATTCAACTTTAAAAGCATAACAGTATGGCTAGTCTAAATAAAATTATACTTTTAACACAGTGTAATTTTAAACACACACCTGAAATAGGGAATAAAACTCCATAAATCAGTGGTTCCCAACCTGAACATATTTGTTTTCAACAGGCAGCCAGTGATTACTTATATTACAAAGGAGAGACGGGGGACGCCAGGAGGCCTGATGACTAAGACACTGATGACACTGATTATTCAATCCTTTGCTATGAGGAAAATCCGTCCGTGAGGACATTGGTTTGGATTCCAGAAGCGCCCCCAGTGGCTGTCTGTTAGACAGTCACAGAGGGCAGACTTAGAGCTGCAAGGTAATCATTGCAGTTCTCTGGAACTGCAACGTTTTACATTGCAGCACTAAGTGCAAAAGGGTCAGAGCACCCAGACTTCAATTAGCTTAAGTGGTCTGGGTGCCTACAGTGTCCCTCTAAATTAGCTTATTGCCTACTTTTTCTCCTAGCTGACAGGTAACCAGTAATGTCTAGCTTTTAAAAAAAAAAAAAAAATGAATCAAGCAGCTTCTGTTTTGAAGCTGGTTAATGACCCTCTACAGAATCGGGGAAAGTGTAAAATGCAACTGAGAACAAGACATAGAACCTTAAAAGACTGATAGTACATCAAGAGTAAAATTATAACTGTTGGCATGTATGGGACTCCTCAAAAAAAATGCAATGTAAACAGGCCTTGTGATTAGAAAGGTTGTGAAACACCACATTAGACACCCAATATCAAACCGTTCCTTTAAACATTTTCTGCAAGTATAGGGCTGGAATAGAATTGTGAGTCCTATTTCAATAGCTGAAAAAACATGCACTGTAGTTTCTGTGTGTTAAAAGCAGAAGGATCGCCTGTGGGAGCCTTTTTCAGCTCTACCTTGTCAGTCAATGCTTTGTCTGTGCCAAATAATTTGCTGACAGGTGAATAAACTGATTGGTTGAGTCCCCCCCCCAAACTATATATTGCAAGCATGATGTATAGATAGAATGTTATGCTCTATAAATACAAATGTTACTAGAAAATGAAAAAAAAAGTAAGATCTTGACAAATCCATCACAGTAGGAGACATTGGCAATATAAATTAGACGCTTACAGCAACAATTAAATCTCCATGCTGGCAAGGACCTGGCCTCTACAGTTTGGAAGGTATAAACGTGCTCAGGTGGCAGAAATATCAGGGCTTTTAAACAAAAGTGCAACCTCTAGACTAAATGCATCATATGATGTCACACCCTCCTAGCCTTCTTAGCCAGGATGCTGTTCAGTAGAGCAAGGGACACTCAGACCATCTTTCACTGCACTCAGCCCATTCGAACCTCACCACAGAGTGAGGAGCAGGGAATACAGAGGAAGAATAAGTCAACTGTCAAGCATTTGAATGTATCCAGGCATAACATTTATGTATGTGGCTGTCTATGTATTTAGATGTGAGAGAGGCTAAATAAACATACAGGCCTATATGCATGTGTGAGTAATGCTAAATAGCATTGCACGGTGAGTGGATAGTGCAATGTAGTGAGTATCGTGCCAGGAGTAGCCTGGTGTCCCAATGAAAGAAGCCAAACCATTTTATACTAGTTTGACTTCTTATAGTGTTGGGAAACACAGGCACTCTTGGCATTATAAGCACTACAGCATCAGACAGGATGATAAAGGCTCTCTAGCAGCTGTTTTAAAAATGAGGTGGGTGGGGCAGGGCAGCATCTAGCAGACCTGGGGAGTATGGGGTGGCACTACAGGAATTATAGTTGTTTTGCTTGGAATGTTCCTTTAAGATGGAACAGGCAAACAAGAAGGGTGTTCCTTCTATTATGCACTCTCAGCCTCAGAACAGCAGAAGAAAGTCTCAACATCTGTTGGTTGTTCAGGCTTAATGGTAAGAAGTATCAGACTGTGGGATACTGAAACAGGCATCTGTGCATGGGACCTCTTATTTCCAAACAAATTTTCTATGTCAATGCATGTGAAGTATGATTACTTTAAGAGTCAATCAAGGTGTTTTTTGTTTTTATTTTAGCCTAGTCCTCACTTGTGTGTAAAACGGAGAACATAAAACCCCTCGCTGAAAAGAGACTGCATGCCCCTGTGGTTGGTGGTACTGAATATTGATTGTTTTCTGCACTTAATTTTCCCTTCCCACAACACTGGGTCACCATATTGTCACAACAGTTCTAGTCCTCTCAAAGAGGAAGGAAACCAGCGAGAGAGAAAAAATGATAATGGGATATGCTGGCCATTTTCTTTAAAAAACAAAAAAGACACAGAGGCTCATGCATGCTCTTACAGAATGAAAGCTCAATGCCAAGCCAACATGTGCATTTCCATGTTGGTGCATAGACCATAGTGGCTAATATGTTTGTTTTAGTATTCCTCACTTAAAGGGACACCGTAGGCACTGTATCTGCTTCATCTCATTAAACTGGTTATAGTGTCTGGAGTCCCCTGGTACCATCATTTCTTTCAGCATTAAACAGTTTTTAATGTTGTAATGTTTTAATGCTAAACAAGAGTCCACGGCAGTCTATCCACTCTGTGCTGCTTTGGCTAATAAGGAAGTATTACCCTGAGAGGCAATGGGCAGCTGTGATTGGCTGAGAGTGTCAGCTGACTGCTTTTAACCTGTCAGAGCTCCAACTGACGGTATGGATGGGTATGACAACAAGGAAGTGTGTAATCTCTGCCTTAGCTACACATACAGAAGGGGCCGGACTGTGGGTGGCCAGGGACTCTTATTTTGTGGCATACTGCACAAACATTGTGCAACACTGAATGGAGGGACAGTGCCAGGCAACTCCAGGCACTATAACCAATTCAAACAAAGTGGTTATAGTGACTACAGTGTCCCTTTAAGTTTCAAACCTTGTAGAACTTCAAACTGCCATCAAGCACTGCTACCTTGCACCAACGAATAATTCTACATTTTTATTTTGTGCATATACAAGTGTTTTAAATGTTTTCAGGCACTGGCTGTTTTTGATGGATATGGTGGATGTATGTATTTTACGGGTAACAAACGATAACTTTAGTCTGATTTTTTTTCCACAGACAATAGGACATACTTATTTTATCCTGGTGTGGTTTACTGTAACATTAATCTTGTACAAAAGGGAAATGGACACTCATAGTGGAGCAGCATTTCTAAATTACAGCAATTGTAAACCAAAAAGAAATGTACAGTAAATCTGAAACCTATAATGATTTGTCTCACATTTAAATATTTGTAGTAGCTATAAATTGTTACATACATCAAGGCAATAAATGTACACTGGCAGTAAGAGAACCTTCTCTACTTCAGAGAATACACACCTAAGTAAACATAAGCTTTCATTTTGATTTTTAAGGAGACTACCAACATGGTAATTGTTTCAAGCTTATTAAAGGGACTCTCCAGTCTCGAGCAGACTCATGTGAAACAATAGGGGGGGAAATCTTTTGATGTTTATAGATCACTACTGCAAACACCTGGCATTTGCACTTTCCTTCATTAGACTGTCACTCTAGACTAAGTAGTAGTGAAAATCTGTCAGCCAATCCCAACCATATCTTTTTTTTTTTACTTTTCATTATTTTAAGCAGTGTTCCATTAATTAAACAATTGTGCTATCAATTTAAACATAGTTCCACTGGAATAGAGATAGACATAACATGTAATTGGCCAAAGCACTAGCTCAACCAGAAAAGGATGGGAATGAGCAACTCAGAAATGCAGATTTATTGAGTGGAGCATTTGGGGGAAACATGCAGTGTAGTTAAAATAAAACTGCAAAAAAATCATGGCAAGGTTGCCTAGCAAAGATTTCACACGTCATAAGGTAACAAAGCCTCTTATATACACACAACACTCAGTGCCAAGTGAAACTCTGTAAAATGCCATGCAATCACAAACAAAAATGCATATTTACTACTCGCAGTAAATGTGTTTAAAATATTTTAAATACAAAACTGAGTAATACATAATATATATCCAATCATTATTTGACCCATATGGTAGATTACTCACTATTTAAATATTGTATTGATGTGGGTATGCAGACCTGAAATAACATAACTTCAGCCAATGTTAAACATATCCAGAAAGGAACTTGCAAGTTAAAACTTCACATTATTCAACCTTTTAGTACTGTAAAACAAACAAAAGGTGGCACACATTGCCCTGTGAAAGGTTATGTATGTAAAGTTGAAGGATCCAACGTATGCATAATAACACAGATGATTGTTAGAACACAGATGACAAATGTTTAGAAATAACCCCCCTTAAGGACAGAGGCAATTGTACAAGTTCTGAACCAAAACAAAAGGTGGAATTTGAGCTATATGTCTGTTCAACCTAATTAATTTACCTTTCATATGAAGTACTCCCACACTTACATATTTTTTTTCTTCTGGAGAAAAAGCTTTAATTTCACATCAAATATTTATATATGAAACATTTTTTAGTGATTAAAATCTAAAAAGGTAAGATAAATTATAGTCACCAGAACAACTACAGTTTATTGTATTTGTTCTGGTTAGAATAATCAGTCCCTTTAGGCTTTCTGCAGTAAACACACTTTTCAGAGAAGAGGCAGTGTTTACATTACAGCCTAGGGATAGCTCCACTGGTCAATTCTCATATGACTACTAGAGGTGCTTCCTGGGGCAGTGCTGTGGCACTGCCATTCAGTGTCTCCACCCTCTGCATGGAGACACACTTTCCACATAGAGATGCACTGCATAGAAACATAGAATGTGACGGCAGATAAGAACCATGCGGCCCATCTAGTCTGCCCAATTTTCTAAATACTTTCATTGGTCCCTGGCCTTATCTTATCTTAAGTCTAGGACAGCCTTATGCCTATCCCACGCATGCTTAAACTCCCTCACTGTGTTAACCTCTACCACTTCAACTGGAAGGCTATTCCATGCTTCCATTACCCTCTCAGTAAAGTAATACTTCCTGATAATTTTTAAACCTTTGCCCGTCTATTTCAAGACTATGTCCTCTTGTTGTGGTAGTTTTTCTTCTTTTAAATATAGTCTCCTCCTTTACTGTGTTGATTCCATTCATGTATTTAAATGTTTCTATCATATCCCCCACCCTGCCCCGTCTCATCTTTCTGCCAAGCTATACAAGTTAAGATCCTTTAACCTTTCCTGGTAAGTTTTATCCTGCTATCCATGAATCAGTTTTGTAGCCTTTCTCTGAACTCTTTCCAGAGTATCAATTTCCTTCTGAAGATACGGTCTCCAGTACTGCGTACCATACTCCAAGTGAGGTCTCACCCGTGTTCTGTACAATGGCATGAGCACTTCCCTCTTTCTACTGCTATTCAACCAAGCATTCTGCTAGCATTTCCTGCTGCTCTATTGCATTGTCTGCCTACCTTTAAGTCATCTGAAATAATTACTCAGAAATCCCTTTCCTCAGATGTTGAGGTTAGTAGTGTATCAAATATCATATACTCTGCCTTTGGGTTTTTATGTCCAAGGATCTTGCCCTTATCCACATTAAATGTCAGTTGCCACAACTCTGACCATTTTTCTAGTTTACCTAAATCATTTGCCATTTGGCTTATCCCTCCTGGAACATCAAACCTGTTACATATCTTAGTATCATCAGCAAAAAGACATACCTTACCATCAAGACCTTCTGCAATATTACAGAGAATGGGTCCAAGTACAGATCCCTGAGTTACCCCACTGGTGACAAGCCCATGCTTCGAATATACTTTGTTGACTACAACCCTCTGTTGCCTGTCACGCAGCCACTGCCTTACCCATTCAACAATATTGGAATCCAAACTTAAAGATTGCAGTTTATTGATGAGCCTTCTATGCGGAACAGTGTCAAAAGCCTTACTGAAATCTAGGTAAGCAATATCTACTGCACCACCCTGATCTATTATTTTAGTTACCCAAACAAAAAAATCAACACGATTAGTTTGGCATGATCTCCCTGAAGTAAACCCATGTTGTCTCAGATCTTGAAGTCCATGTGATTTTAGATGTTCAACAATCCTATCCTTTAACATGATTTCTATTACTTTCCCCACTACTGAAGTAAGGCTTACTGGCCTATAGTTGCCCAACTCCTCCCTACTACCTACCTTGTGAATGGGCACAACATTCACTAATTTCCAATCTTCTGGGACTACTCGTGTTAACAATGATTGGTTAAATAAATCCATTAATGGTTTTGCTAGTACACCACTAAGTTTTTTTAATAACTTTGGGTGTATCGCATCAGGCCCCTTCGACTTATTTGTCTTTACTTTTGACAGTTGAAATAGAACCTCTTCCTCTCACATGTAACAAATGACTCATTTGTCCTTTTTCCTAACAGAGGCCCCTTTCCTTCATTTTCATCTGTAAATACTGAATAAAAATATTAATTGAGGCAGCTAGACCTTTATCCTCTTTTACATACCTTCCTTTTGTTTTTAATCTATCCTTTTCTCATTTATGTATCTAAAAAAAAAGTTTTGTCCCTTTTTTTTTTTTTTTTACTGACTGTGCTATTTTCTCTTCTGTGTGTGCTTTGGAGGCTCTTATAACTTGCTTAGCCTCTTTCTGCCTAATCTTATAGATCGGTCTTGTCTTCCTTAATCTGGGTTTTTTATAATTACTAAATGCTAACTTATTTTTTTTTTCTATTTTGGCCACATCTGCGGAGTAGCACATTGATTCAATGCATCTATTAAGAGATGCTGATTGGCCAGGGCTGTGTTTGGCTTCTGCTGGCTCTGCCTCTGATCTGATTCTACGGGAAAGCATTGTGATTGGCTCAGATCAACACTTCTGATGAGGTCAGCCAAGCAGGCAGATCATGGACCTAGCCAGCAGCAGCAGAGATGCTGATTGTCATAGCGTTTTGCGGCACATGCGCAATAGCTGGTCAGGAAAGCATTGGATTGGCAGAGATAATCAAGTATGATCATCTCAGCCATAAAGGCGGGGCCAGCCGCGGGAAGACCAATACGGCGTGGAAATAAAGGTGAGTATAAACACCATTCCCACGTGATTGGAGGGGGTAGTTGGTCACCTAAACATACACACAGACACACACTGACAGACTAAGCAGCGAGTGAGGGATCAGAGCAGGGAGATCATAGCTCCCTCGCTGTTAGCGTACAAAATGCAGATCCGGCCGCCAGTCCACCTCGGATTTAACGGGTTCACAAATATCCGGCGCCAGGGCTTATTTCCTGGACGCCATGGCGGTCTCTGATTTGTCAAGCCCTGTATTATTTTTACATAAATTATGTGGTTTTATTGTATATTGGATTGAGGGACCTGCCTGACAACCCAAACAGAAAGAATTTAATTTACACTGACTGCATTTCACTCTTTCAAATATCTAGGTATGTTGCTAGACCCCAATCTATCTTTGGCCTCCACATTGGAAAAAAACTCATCAAAACTTTATCCAAGAGTAGGTGCCCTGTACAGAAATAAATCCTCCCTAAGCCCTGCAGTAAGGAAGCAGATTAGGCAACAAATGCCAATGCCTGTTATTGAATATGGGGATGTAGTGTATGTGCCTGTGCCGCAAACCCATCATCATAAACTTACTATGATGTATAACTCTTCGCCCACTTTGTGTTACAATGTAATTACATGTCCCACCATGACATGTTAAGAGAGCTAAACTGGCTATTGCTGGAATCCTGATGCACCCTCCCTCTTTGGGTTTATGACCTTTCTGGGGAGCTCCCACCCTACTTGAGTAGAATGCTTTCCCTGTCCATTCCCACCTCCTATAAACATAGATCAAGTACCAGCACTTTAATATACTGAATTACAAAAAGAAAGCACGATCATTTTCCTACGAAGCACCGCAAGTATGGAACAACCTCCAGGACACAATTAAATCTTCCTCCACACTAAAATCCTTTAAAAGATCCCTGTCAACATATCTCAGTACAGAATGCACCTGTAATTATAGTTGATTATATTTCTTACCTGTTCTGTGTTAAATGGACATGTATATTTAAATATTACTTTGTATTTGTAATATTATACAGTGTATTTTAATACTACTTTGTATTTTTAACATTATGCTGTACACTATTGTAACAATGTTTGTGGTCCCAGGACATACTTGAAAACTAAATATCAATGTATCCTTCCTGGTAAAATATTTTATAAATTATTATATAATTGTATTTTAAGTATTTTAATAATATATTTAATTGTGTGTGTGTGTGTGTATATATATATATATATATATATATATATATATATATATATATATATATAAATAATTTTTGTCCTTTACAAAACTGAATATTTTTATTTTACGCTAAATAAAAGTTAGGTGTTTTGCTATATCCTGAAACTAAGTCCTTTAATGCAATTGACAAATATTGGCCTCATTAGAACTATTTGTGCATGTGCAAATCTTTCTAGTTTTTGCACACAAAAAAAAATAAATGTTCTGCAGAATACTGTCTCTTTAGCCACACAGCCCAATGCTGGAAAGACTTTCATATCAAATGTATACACACAGCTCAGTACCATCAGCACTGAGTGAACAAAGTTTAATTTACAACCTGGCAGCATACAGAGATACTATATATAAAAATAAAAAAAAAAACCTCTGCAGTTTCAGAAAAACTGCAATTTTTACATTGCATTACTTAGTGGCTGTCTACCAGAGGTGCTTCCGGGAGGTTACTGAACTCTGGGTCGCCTAAATGATGTTGGATGTCCTCACGCTCTGCGTGAGCATTGAGGCAACTTACTGCTCTACCCTACTCGGTGGCACTCCACGCTTCTTGAAATTTGGCTGAAAAAAAACGGATGCAGCTGGGGACACTGAAATGAGGCACTGTAGAGCAACGTTTGATGTAAAAGTGTGCAAGAACGTTCAACCCATTCAAATATGGAAGCGCCAGGGACCTCTGGGCAACATAACTACATTTCAATGATGTTATTTATTTATAAAATATTTTACCAGGAAGGATGCATTGAGATTTCACTAGTTTTCAAGTAAAGCGGATCTGTCACCATCTTTGAGTAATATGCAAAGACCTCCAACAATGACAGTGCTGCTTTAAATAAAATTCTCATATGGAAACATTGGCTAATGCTTCTCTATGAGAAAGCTCACTACTAAAGAGCTTTAATTTAACAAATGAGGAAATACTTATGGGTCTCAGCTTGACACCCAAATTTTGTTATGTAGTGAACTGTACTTTTATTTCAAGCCTAATACTGTTATGCACACCGTATTTGAGGTCCCCAATGAAACAAAATGACCTGGAAAGGAAAGAAAAATAACCTGCTTTCTTCCATGGTTTCAAAAATGCTACATATTTAGTTTGGAGCCTGTCACATTTGTGAGAGTTTACAAAAAAATACTGATTTCAATATAAATCTGCACTTTTATATTGGGGAGCAGAAACATCTCCATGGCTGGGGGGCGTTCTAACTTCTGTTAGCTCTATTGAGCTAATGAAAGTTGCAGTGCAGGTGTGTTGTGTTAACACAGCCTTGCCTTCTCAATGAAGCTGTACTTATTACAGACTGAATGTCTGTACTAGAGATAAAGGGTGAGATCTGCAGCATTTGCAAGCTGGTTTTAGATATGCTTCAGCTCTGTTCGTTTTCCAATTTAAAAACTTGTTCATGAAAATTCAGACTGTTGCTTGTTCGCCCTATCGGTTCCAAGTTTTAATGGAATTTTTTTTTTTTTAATTACATGAGCATGTTTATATTACAGGACCACTCTAGGCACCCAGACCACTTCAGCTTAATGAAGTGGTCTGGGTGCCAGGTCCAGCTAGGGTTAACCCATTTTTTAATAAACATAGCAGTTTCAGAGAAACTGCTATGTTTATTAATGGGTTAAGCCTTCCCCCAAATCCTCTAGTGGCTGTCTCATTGACAGCCACTAGAGGCGCTTGCGTGCTTCTCACTGTGATTTTCACAGTGAGAGCACGCCAGCGTCCATAGGAAAGCATTGTAAATGCTTTCCTATGCGACCGGCTGAATGCGCGCGCAGCTCTTGCCGCGCGTGCGCTTTCAGCCGACAGGGCGGATCGGAGGAGGAGAGGAGGCAGAGAGCTCTCTGCCCAGCGCTGGAAAAAGGTAAGTTTAAACCCCTTTCCCCTTTCCAGAGCCAGGCGGGAGGGGGTCCCTGAGGGTGGGGGCACCCTCAGGGCACTATAGTGCCAGGAAAACGAGTATGTTTTCCTGGCACTATAGTGGTCCTTTAATAACAGGGTTGTGGAATTTATATCGCCCCAACGCCTGGGACATGCAGTTCCGGGTGCCAGGCAGGGAGATTTATTTCATTTTTTAATTCTTTCAGCCCTGCAGCAGGCAAGCGACAGGGTTGCCTTGGAGGGAGTTGGTGCTGAGCAGAGAGAGTGTTGTGGACAAAAATATTAACTCAATTTATGTTCGTAAAATGCCTAGAATACGCCCAAGCCGTCTACCAACCTTCTCCAGCTGATACCCGCAGCTATGCTCACCTTTCCCCTGATAGTTATGATACAGATGATTACCAACCAGATGACCGTCCTGTACCCAGTCAACATCGCCCTACACGCCAGACTCATCAGGCCTGTCACTCCTCCACAACCACACGTCACTACACTGGCCCTGATCAATCTCATCTAGACCTTGTGCAATAGGTAACTGGCAAACCTGTGTCTAACACCCCTGTCATGGCAGTGTCTACAGGGGACAAAGGGGGGCCTCTCGCTACAGTAGTCCTACCAGTAGAGGGTCATCCTACTACCTTTTTAGTTGACACAGGTGCAGCCCTCAGTGTTCTCAGAGAACAAGACCTGCCTGACCCATCTTGCTTATCCGACACAGATGTCTCTTGTGTTGGTGTCGATGGCACCCCTAGAAACAACCCATTAACTAAGCTCTTGCGAATGGGTTCTGACATACTCTCACGCTTTGTTGTTTCTTCCACTTGTCCAATTAACCTTTTAGGTGCTTATGTTCTGTCCCGTCTTCAAGCCTCTCTTTCACTGCTGATGGCCAGGTCCAATTATTAACCCCCCTTTCTCGCAAAGATACAGATACAGCTCACACCTGTTACCATGCCCTTCAAAGAGCCATCTCCTCTGCCCCTGCCTTGGGCCTAACTATCAGCAACCGTTCAAGCTTTTCGTTTCAGAAAAGATGGGCCATGCTTCAGGGGTCCTTACTCAATCACATGGTTACCGTGAAAGTCCCATTGGTTACTTCTCGTGCCTGCTAGACCCCGTGGCTAGGGGTGGTTCCTCCTGTTTGCGTGCTGTTTTTGCTGCCAGTGCCCTGCTGGACAAAACTAATGACTTTGTTCTTGGACATAAACAGTCCTTGCTCCACATGATATCGCTGCAATCCTGAATCAAGGCCAGCCAAAACATCTCTCCTCAGAGACATCTCCGCCTTCAGACCTCCCTCCTCTTGCCTGATAATGTTACGTTACAAAGATGTTACTCATTGAACCCAGCCACTCTTCTGCCACTTCCCAAGAGGGGAGTACCGCAATACTGGTACAGTCTGGACATCAATCCTGACGTTCATATGGAACTTCAGGTGAAAAAGCCTGCGGTTCCACATGATGAACAGCCCGAGAGCTACTTACATTGCACCCTGTGGTTCAAGAGCACCCCAGGTCCTGACCCATACTATGAAGAACTTTTCAGCCTGGTAGAAATACGCATTACACTAACAGACCTATTTTGTGACTCCAAAGGAAACATTGCCCCTCATGATTGCTTTGAATAGATGAAAATGGAAACAACCCATCTCCCAACAGTGCACGAGGCTGCTCTATCCAACCCTGACTACACACTGTTTGTGGATGGTTCTAGATTCGCAGATGAACAGGGACAATATCATATCGGATATGCAGTCACCACGGAAGACCAAATACTCCAAGCATCTGCACTTCCATCGTCTAAGTCAGCACAAGAAGCCGAACTAATAGCCCTCACGGTAGCATGCAAGATGTCTGAAGGGAAGCGTGTTAATATTTACACAGACTCAAGGTATGCTCTGGGCGTGGCACATGATTTTGGCTTAATCTGGAATACCAGGTTCCTCACAGCAACAAGTACCCCTGTGAAACATGGCGCAGCTATCAAAGAATTGATGGACGCTTTACTGCTTCCTGAAGAGGTGGCCATACTGAAGGTAAAGGCCCACGGGAGACTTAATTCAGATGAAGCACATGGCAACCACGTAGCCGACCAGACTGCTAAGGATGCGGCGCGAAAGTGTTGGGAAGTGGACAGAAGAGTGCCCTTTGAAAAGGCTCCGATTTACATTATGCAGACCTTACCCACCGATCTCAAGCTCCTAAGAGAACAACAGGCCGCAGCCACTTCTCTGGAGGTTTGCCCTTTTCAGTTGGAAAGAAAAGGGCAACCCTCCAGAATGAAGTATACACAATCAACCTCAAATTCTGTCTACCCAAGAGCATGTATCCAGTGGGCCCATGGACCAGCTCATTTATCTAAAAATCTCATGAACTCTTTGATAAATATTTTGAAGCTCCCGGAATCACCACTCTGACACGAAATTACTGCAGATCCTGTGCTATCTGCGCCAGATGTAACCCCGGGAAAATAATTAAAGCTGCACCAAACCATTTAGCTAAACCACAGTACCCTTTCCAGAGGATCCAAATTGATCATATCCAAATGTCAAACAGTGGCCGGTATGAATACGCACTGGTCATAGTGGATATGTCTTCAGGGTGGCCAGAAGCCTTTCCAGTAGCTAATCTCACTGCCAAGACCACGGCAAAGCACCTACTTACCGAAATAATCTGCAGATATGGAGTTCCCGAGGTGATCGAAAGGGACCAGGGAACCTCCTTCACCGCCTTACTAACCAAAGAAATCTGGGCAGCACTGGAAGTGACCCTTGCATTCCACACACCCTATCACCCACAGAGAAGTGGTAAGGTAGAACGCATGAATGGCACCTTGAAAGCCAGAATGCTTAAGATAGTCTAAGAAACTAACCTATCCTGGCCGGAAAGTCTTCCCATGGCACTATTTACTGTAAGGTACACTCCAAGAGAGATTTAGCTTATCCCCCTATGAGATTTTATTTGGTACAGCACCCAGGTTAGGCTGTTATTTTCCTCAGCAGCTTCAAATTCAGTCAGATGCAATGGTAGACTATATAACTGCTCTCTCTCATGCCTTGACCAAAATCCATGCACAGGTGTTTTCTTCTATTCCAGATCCAGAGTCAAATACAGGCACACATAAGCCTTGACGTAAGGGTGATGGTCAAGAAGTTCCTCAAAAAACATACCCTTGAGCCCAGGTTTGATGGTCCATTCCAAGTGCTATTGACTACGTCTACCTCTGTAAAGTTGGCCGGGAAGAGTACCTGGATACACGCCTCGCACTGTAAGAAAGTTCATGATCCAGAGGAAGCAGATTCCGCCAAACCATGAGCTTCCTGTGCCTATTTTTGCTGCTAGACCTATTTAAGGCCCAACAAGTTGCTATTACCAAAGACAATCATGTTTATACATTCTTGAATAACTCTTCAAACACACATGTAGCTACTTTTACCTTTGATTACTGTGATATTGTTCCTTGTACCTTTCCGCAATCACACTCAGCAATATACAAAGACATACCAAACAAGAAGAACCCCTACATTTGTGTGACAGGTGGCCATTGGGGACACCACTGTGGTACCTGGAAAGTAGCGGGTTGGAACACAGGCCAACCGTGGGCTACAGACCACAAAGTGCCTTAGATAGGATTCACAGATATGGGAAACCCTTGTTACACAGAATGACCTTATGTAAGCCAACAGGGTCTACCCCAATGAAACTCACCTTAAACATAGAACATCCCAGCCCAGGGGACGCTGGGGAGTACGTAATGGGAATGTATTGGAAAGGGGGTGGCTCATATAACAAGTTGGGTTCCTTCTATTTACAAGACATGCTTACGTCACCTGACTGGGTAGACTCTGCGCACACTATGACGATTAACCCCCTAAAACCACACATTAAAACCCTTAAAGACATGGTAGCTATTGCTAATCCCACGTTTGAAGACACTATGGCTGTGGAGACCGGGTTTTCAGATACTAATCTATGGCTTGAGTGGATGAGGTATAATGCTAACTCACACAATAAAACTGTTGTTTGTGGAGGGGCCAGACCCCATCTGGGTACAGTGCCCTTCAGATGTTGAAATATGTTTCCTAAGTCTCTATGTGCAGTCACCAACAAACTCATCTGTGTGTGAATCATGGAAAAAGGTATACCCAATAACCCAAGGGAATATCAAGACAGCATGGGACAGGCTTCTGGTAATCTGTGGTGTGTGTGTCAGAGAATGTATAGTTTGTGTGTGTAAATCAGTGTTTGCGAGCGCACACACACACACACACACACCACATACAGCCAGGACACACACCACATACAGCCAGGACACACCACACTTGAAAGTGGAGGAGTACAACTCTGTAAATGAATAAAAGTGTCACTTTCAAGTGAAAGCTGCACTTTGTGTAAAATAAAAAAGGACACTCTTTACCCATAAAGCTTTTCAGAAAGCTAAAGTGCTTTAGGGGTCTGGAGTGTCCTATTAATTAAAATGGTTGATGGTGCATATACTAGAACAACAAAATACTTAGTTGGAAATGTAATACTCCCATCAAAACATGAAAATATCTTGGGAGATTATGGCCAAGAATGTTTGAAATCTTTTCCAAAAATAAAAAAATCAATAGATAAGCTTTTTAATCTGATTTAGGAAAATAGACTTGTGATTGCAAACTAAATAGAAGCAGTTGCAAAGTACGGCTGTTACCGCAAAAATATATTTTTTAATTATCTGTTCATCTAAGTTAGGAAAGGAAAGATTTTTTTTTTTTTTTTTAATTATATGCAAAAAATGAGAACAATGCATCCCTACCTATAGTATATGATAAGGTCATTCAGACACATACCTTGCATTCACTCACTGCACAGTGTATTATGAATTTTCAAACACTGGTTGATCCAAGGTGCATGTATATGACTGAAGGATCCTGTCATATACTAAACGTAGGGATGAGATTCTTTTGACTATTATATTAAAACATTGTTTTGTCCATTAAATTGTTTCTGTAGCTGTACATAGAATGTCATTTAGACCTTTGCCAATCCATAACAAATATGCAATAACATTCATTGCTTTCTAAACGCCAGAATTTCAAATTGTCAAAACACACAAACAAATACTGTGTCAAGCATATTATTTTTTCTCTAAGGCAGCAAACAAGAGAGAATGTGTTCATTTACTGTATTGGCAATGACACTAAAATTACCCACCAATAAGGAAACTGCGTTACTCCAAATGCAAACAACATTAAGGCAACAAACGAATAAAGTTTTGGTATTTGTGTTATCGGTATATAGGGAGCAAAATAGACAGCACAGATGTACCCGGAATTAACAGTGACTACAACGGGCATGAGAGGGAAAGTGTCGGGACACTGAGAAGACACCTCATATACACCGTGAACTCGTGATCAGATCACATAAGAGGCAAAGGAGAACCAACCTTCCTCCCATCACACGACACATCACAGTCCCGCGTCGCTTACTGATGATGCAAAGAGCAGCGAGTCTATAGGGGAAGAGGTGGGAGGATGTGTAGTAGGGGAGGAGAGCTAATGCTTTCCCAGGGCTTCCTCTTTGCTGTTTTCGTCAACTTGGAGCCCAGCCAGGACCCGCTCTGGGAATGCACGGGGCGGGGAGAGGCAGGGCAAGGGACAGGAGGGTTATAAGGGACATAACCCCTTAGTGGCCAGCACTAACGCAGATCACAAGGTTGTCACCTCCGCTTTCTGGCGGCTAAACAGTTAACGGGGTGGCCCTGCAGCTGCTGCTTTCTTTTGGATGCAGATAGGTACATATTTAGGCCCAAGGCCTCGGCAAGCCCAGCTGGAACAGGCAGCACAAAGACAAGCAGATTAAAGAGATGGAAGGAGGAGACACCCAGGAAGAGAGAGAGAGAGGCCGGGTTACGGAGGAGGGGACGGGGGTGGGGGCTGTCTATTAACATTTCAAAACCAGGACAAACAAAAACACAAAAAGCAAGGTAGACCTAAAACGTATGAGTAACGCCGTGTGTGTCACCACACATTAAAATTACTGTACTGACTCGGAAAACAAACTGATAACAGGGCGGAGACTGCGTCCCATTGAGAAGTGAGCAAGCAATGTCATAAGCCTCTTCCTAATGAAAGTACATAAAGAGCTGCTATTAAAGGAGATCCACACAGGGACTACGCTAAATTACCCCATCTATACACATAGTATTTACCCTAGGAAAACCAAATGAGGAAATAACCCCAGACTCTCTAGAGGGAAACCTAGCTGGTGTATGTGTTAATCTAGAAAGTGGCATGTCTCTGCTGAATATTGACATCTGGCATTTGGAAATCCAGCTTTAGCGGATTACAATGCTCACGATGCTAAGCGAGCCATTCACAGCTCTAAACCGGCTGAATGAGCATCATGGGAAAGGTAGTCTACGGCAGCTGGAGTGCCAAAGGTTAGCCATGCTATAACTGCTGAAGGACAATGTTCTCAGTACCAGATGGATCTACTTATGCCCCCCTGCGGCACTCAGCGTGTTAAAAAAAAAAAAAAAAACCGTGGGGAGTGATTAACACCATCTGCCGGCCCACGACTGCTGCACAAACACCACAGAGTACACAACAAATAATGGCACGTTACAAACATACAGCCACCCCGAAGATTCTACCTCTAGAATGCATACAATTTTCCTGTATATCAGTCAAGCGAGTTTAACAGCCCTGTAATATAAGACGATTTCAATATCAGCCAATACTCCCTTTGCTATTGTATTTATTCAGGTCATCGGGTAAGTGGGTGTAAAAATCCAGACCTCAATAATGCCATTCAAATCCAGTAAACGTAACTGCACTGTCACCTATTTAATTTTTTTTTTTTGTTTATATTGGAAGGATGTTTAGTAATCGTATATGGGTTTACGCAATGCATAAGGTAAACTGTAATCAAAAAAGTGTCAATGCTGTACAATAAAGTATCATTCATGGGTAACCATAAAATACACCACACAAATACCAAGTAGCGAAATGGACATATGTTTCCATGTTGTGACTTCGTAACCATTGACTTTAACAATAAAATGCAGAACTAAACACATCTGTGAAAAAATAAAAAAAATAAAAAAAATTATACATCTATACATACACACACAGACGTAACTAAACTCAGGCACATTTTTACATACATAATTTCATAACACAGCTGGAGCACACACTTGTCAGTCACTAGGTTGAATCGTTTATGGTCAAATATAAATCATCAAAAGAGCTGCCAAAAAGAAACTGATCATAAACAAATAAAAATTATAGTCATATTATTTACATTCAAGAATTAACTTAATGCAAAATACTGGAATTTAATGTTACCTATGAACAGTTTCTGAAACTAACAAGAATTCGCTTTTTCAAAAACACTGCCCTGACTGGGAAGGAGCAACAGTTTGGGTATGAGATCATCACACCCACCTCTGCATCAGGCACAATAGTTCCTTTTATCAAATATGAAATGGAAAGGAAAAAGAAAACAAAACACACTGCACATTAAGATTCACATATATTTTAGTTATCAAACAGGAGAAGTCTGCCGTTTTCCAGCTGTTTGGTTAGTTCTCTTATAATCCCCACATAACCTTAGACCAACTAAATGCACAATAGCGTGTTAACCCAAAAATCAAGTTCAACAAGGTAATGAATTGCCTATCGAGTGTGATGCAACTTTGCACATACTGCAGTCCTTTCCAGTTGTCAAACCACAACTCCTTTAATTTTTTGTAATGCTCACTTAAGAGGATGGGCATTATACCACCAAGGAAGCTTGAGAGTAAATAGTAGCATGAAGTGATGCAGTTAATTAAGCCTCACAAACATCCTAAATACCTGAGTTTCAATACTGGCCGTTCAGTGAGACCCTAGAACCTCTACAAGCCAGACAACAGCTTCAGAAACTTGCCATTTTTATTTATTACTATATAGTATGGTGTCCAACTGTAGTCTTGCATTTGATGGCCTCCAGTTCTCATAAATCTCTAGTAGTTTGCATACAGTGGATAAATACACACGTTTGGGATTATTCACTAAACCATGAATTGTGGAGAATTAACTAGGGAATTTCAATCTGTAGGAAGTCTGAGCTGTACAAATATGAGAGAGATAATCCCCCCTATTCATATGGCATACACAACAATTACTGTCAATTTCTCTCAATTCCAAGGAAGTGACATGAAAAATCACCTGGTTTGGTCTCAAATCACAATCCTCTCGCTACTGTACTGCAGCTCCCACATGTTTTAGATTCACTACAACTCTCAAAAGCAGCCTAATTACACAGCATGGGACCACAATAGGACCATGCAGGTAATTCAAACGGGGTTTATTCACTAAACAGCAACTTGTGGTGACTTTGAAAACAGACTTGTTAAAAAAAATAAACTGACAATATTCAGGCTGAGCCAAAGGAAAAAAAAAAAAAAAGAAAAAAAAGGGAAAAATCCAACGTAACAAGGTTTAACATTTCTCTCAAACATTGACATTGTATGTATGTTAAAGAAAATGTGCAAATCGGTTCTCAAGTCCCAATAAAACTCGCTGTTCAGTGAATAGACCCCCAAAAATGTGCATGTACACAACGTGACATTTTTTTATTTTTTTTTAATGGATACAGTTTGGCAGCATTTTGTCCTCACCAAACAGATCCAGGGTTTCCAAGTTTACCTCTTAAAACTGAGTAGTTTTTGTAGGCTGGAGTCAGCCAGCAGCATGCACACACCACCATCCCACCCAGGAGCCCACCACCAGGATAGAGACCCCCCAAACACACAATAACCCTGAGGACACAGGCCCGAGGTGACCTCTAGCCCCCAGCCCGGGATAGGTGCTGGGGAGCCGGCTCTGGGGGAGCAGGTAGACGCCGCCCCCGCAGCCCGCCTGTAATCCGGGTCTGGGCAGCGGCCTAGCTGGGCCTCGCAGCCTGGCAGTGGATCCCCGGCCCTCCCTGAGGGGGGCGTGCTCCGTGCGGTTACCTGAGCCGGTCCGGGCGGCTCCTCCGGCTGCTGGAAGGCCCGAGCTCCTCACACACCGCGGGCAGGTAATCCGGGATGGCGCCTCTCCCGCCTGGCTGCGGCGGACATGTAGAGAGAGACGGGGGGAGCGAGCGGGGAAGGAGCCGATCCCTTCTCCTCCTCCCCCGGGCCTGCCCCCTCCCGCCCGCCCGCCCAGAGGAGATCCTCGGCCGAGAGCCCCCGGGGTGACCCGAGCCGCCGCCGCTAGCTGAGTCGGGAGGCGGAGGAGAGCAGCAGGCCCCGGGCGGGTGGGTGTCCGTCAGACGGAGCGGGGAGTCCGGGTCCGGTGGGGTCCGGGGAGGGGGGGAGAGCACACAGCGGGCGCCGCCGGTGAGAGAGGGGGGGAGGGGAGGAGTCCCGGGGGTTCGCGCGGCGCTCCGGGGATCGGGAATCCGCTTCTCCCTCACAGAACAAAATGCCGACCGGAAGTGCAGCCGCACGAAGGACTCCCTCCACCGGCGCCAAACCGCCGAGCAGCCAGAGCCAGAAGCCACTTCCGGTGTGTGGGACCAACTCTGTGAGCTCATACACAGCACAGAGCTGGCTCGCGGGGACAGCCAGCACCACTTCCGGTGTGTGTGCTGGGCCTCAGCGTGTGTGGTGATTAGATAGAGAGATAGATAGAGAGATAGATAGATAGATAGAGAGATAGATAGAGAGAGAGATAGAGAGATAGATAGATAGATAGAGAGAGAGAGAGAGATAGAGAGAGATAGATAGATAGAGAGATAGATAGAGAGAGAGAGAGAGATAGAGAGAGAGAGAGAGATAGATAGATAGAGAGATAGATAGAGAGAGAGAGATAGATAGAGAGAGAGATAGATGTGTGTGTGTGTTCCTCAGGGAACCTGTGTGTCATCCACAGAGCACACTGACTGCACAGCTCTGACAGTGTGCAGTGTGTTTTATTAAACAATATCAAACATGTACAGTGACATAACGCACATAAATAATAAAATCATACACAGGTGGTGTGTGGATGTCTGCTATACATTTAATTTATTAATGTTATTGGCATTTATTTAGCGCCAACTTATTCTGCAGCTCTTTACGATGAAAGGGGGAAGATTTAACAATAAATGAGACAATTACAAAAATGTTGCAGGAACAATAGTGCGATCAGGATCTTGCTCGAAATATGTCCCTGTACGGCAGGGGTCCTCAAACTCCAGCCCCCCAGATATTGCTGAACTACAACTCCCATGATTCTCTGGCTATCTGTGTAATTCTAAGAATCATGGGAGTTGTAGTTCAGCAACATCTGGGGGGGCCGGAGTTTGAGGACCCATGCTGTACGTTCATAAGATTAATGGAACCTAACCTTAATTAAAAAAATTTTTTTTTAATAAATCATGTAATATAAAAGAAATAATGCAGAAGTACGTTCGGGAAACTGATCTATGCCATCTAAAAGTTCTAGAGACAAAGCCGCTTGAGCTTCTGTCTGGTTTGTTACGATTTCGCCTAGACCCCTCAACCCCATTTATTTATTTATTTTATCGATAGTATTCAATGCACTGTTATAACCTGTATTGTTACCTATACATATTAACCCCTTAAGGACACATGACATGTGTGACATGTCATGATTCCCTTTTATTCCAGAAGTTTGGTCCTTAAGGGGTTAAGAGATCTGCCGTATCAGTCTAATGGATAGATCATGTTTTTAAATGCCATACTGCTGCAGTGAGTGACAACATCTCTTCATTATTCGCAGTACATGTTCTTATCTGGCTGAGATTAATGGGAGTTACATTTTCAGACAGTAGATGTTATTTGCAGCTGGCTCTATTTTAATGCTGCTCTCTTGTGATCGATGACAGCTGGTAGAGTTTCTAGATAGTAGGATTTAAGATGCTACACCTGAGCTCTATTCTCGTAACGGCACTCCAGATGTTGTGGACTACTTCTAACACAATGCTTTTACAGCCATAATGCATGCAAAGCATCAGGGGAGATATAGTCCACAATATCTGGAGTGGCAAAGGTTGCCTACCCTTCTTTTAGGGCATACAGAATCTGATAGAGATAGACCAATGCAAACCCAACCAGAAATCAGATGAAATAAACTCTGGGTCTCACTCTTGTATTTTTTTCCAATCATATAATATAAAACATAAATAACAGTGACATGTGCAATAGGGGGGAAAAAAACAATGCAATTTCAAGTATTTGGACACATTCATAAACAACTCAACTGTAAAATTTTAAATGTAAATGTTGATCAGTATTTCAGCCCAATAACAGACTTGTTTTTCCAGAGCCATTCAAAATACAAACAGGTTTAAGGGACATTCCATTGCCCAAATATTAATTTATTTATTTAAAAAAAAACAAAAAACACTTTTTACTACTTACAGCCCAAATAATACATACATGCATTTATTTATGCATATTTGTCATTGGGTTATACAAACAGCTTGAAAAAGATGAAGATCTCACCTGCAGCTTTTGCAATTCCCCCACCCCCCTTCTTTCAAAGACCAGACTTTCTTTGGTTGTTCAATTACAGATTTCCCAATATAGCTCAAAGAGAAGTCTTTGCACGGCAAGTTCTCTGTGCAGTTGCCTGTCTCTTGAGTTTAGTTTCACTGAGCTAAACAAACCAGGAAGTAACAGGACAGGTTGTGTGATTGACAGCCAGGTCCTTTTAACAAGATTAATTTATAAAAGCATTCATTTCTATTGAAACCTGCACTTTTTGTAAAATGAAAAAAGAGGGCACACTCTTCTCACATAAAGCATATCAGCAAGCTAAAGTGCTTTAGGGGTCTGTAGTTACCCTTTAAAGGGACACTCCAGTGCCAGGAAAACAATCCGTTTTGCTGGCACTGCGGGTCCGCTCTCCCTCCCACCCCCCATCCCAGGTTACTGAAGGGGTTAAAACCCCTTCAGTGACTTACCTGTATCCAGCGCCGATGTCCCTCGGCGCTGGTTCAGGGTCTGCCCACGCTCCTCCCCCACCAACGTCACCCGGCGGGGAGACCTATTGCGCATGCGCGGCCATCAGCGGGGGAGACCTTATGCGCATGCATGGCAATGCCGCGTACGCGCATTAGACCTACCCATAGTAAAAGCATTGAAAGATGCTTTCAATGCTTTCCTATGGGGATTTCAGCAATGTGGGAGGTCCTCACATAGCGTGAGGACGTCCAGCGACTTTATAGCACAGAAAATCTGTGCTATAAACCAGGAAGTGCCTTCTAGTGGCTGTCTAGTAGACAGCAACTAGAGGAGGAGTTAACCCTGCAAGGTAAATATTGCAGTTTATGAAAACTGCAATATTTACAGTTGCAGGGTTAAGGGTAGTGGGAGTTGGCACCCAGACTACTCCAATGGGCAGAAGTGGTCTGGGTGCCTGGAGTGTCCCTTTATATACAACTGAGAAAGGGAAAAAAGAGTTAGGAGCGAAAGTGAAACCAAATGACATCATTCCAGTTGCATTGTAAACAATCATGCATAGAAACCAATGTATAACAAAATACCAGTATCAGTGAATCAGTGTATCAAGAAAAAGTATAAATAAATTATACAGAAAAATGTCAATGAAGAAATATAAAAACATAAAGTGGATTCTGCATAATTTTCTTGCACTGGGCACAAATATCCCTTTTTAGCAACATTGCAAATAAAGCTTGTCTCTGGTAACCAATTTAGTAGTATAAAAAGAAACATAAAGTAACAATATTAATTCTGTAGATTGAGTAATAGTGATGTCCCAAACGGTTCGCCGAACGGTTCGCCACGGATGGCGAACATATTACCCTGTACCTCACAGTCAGCAGACACATTCCAGCCAATCAGCAGCAGACCCTCCTTCCCAGACCCTCCCACCTCCTGGACAGCTCACTAAGAATGCAGCTTCAAAATGGATGCTGTCCAGGAGGTGGGAGGGCCTGGGAGGGAGGGTCTGCTGCTGATTGGCTGGAATGTGTCTGCTGACTGTGAGGTACAGGGTCATATGTTCGCCGTCCGTGGCGAACCGTTCGGCGAACCGTTCGGGACAAAACTATTGAGTAACATAGTAAATTTGATAAATAATATTTGCACTTTGAGGGATGCTTTAGAAATATTATACTATGTATATTATCTAGATGTTATTGATAGTGATGTCCCGAACGGTTCGCCGAACGGTTCACGAACGGTTCGCCACGGACTCATCATTGAGTAAACTTTGACCCTGTACCTCACAGTCAGCAGACACATTCCAGCCAATCAGCAGCAGACCCTCCCTCCCAGACCCTCCCACCTCCTGGACAGCATCCATTTTGAAGCTGCATTCTTAGTGAGCTGTCCAGGAGGTGGGAGGGTCTAGGAGGGAGGGTCTGCTGCTGATTGGCTGGAATGTGTCTGCTGACTGTGAGGTACAGGGTCAAAGTTTACTCAATATGAGTCCGTGGCAAACCGTTCGCGAACCGTTCGCGAACCGTTCGGGACATCACTAGTTATTGACATTATATAATAGTGTGAGCACTGTATTGCTCCCTGCATAAGTTAGCACAGACTTTGAGCACATCAACTCGCACACATAAACTTGGATAAACCTGGAAAGTTCTGAAATCATAAACAGTGATACTATAATAAAATTAAGTAGGCTGAAAAAAATGTAATAGTGAGAGAAACAAAGTAGCTGGAGGTCATTTATACCTTCTGACATGTGGTTTTTAGCATGTCCTGAAATATAAAATGTATTAAAGGGACTCTAAAGGCACCCACGCCACTTCAGCTCATTGACGTGGTTTGAGTGCAGTGTCCCCTTAACCCTGCAATATTAATGATTGCAGTTTCTGAGAAACAGCAATAATTACTGGGTTAAGACTGCCTCTAGTGGCTGTCAGTTAGACAGCCATTAGATGCACTTCCTGATTGTTAAGCGACTTTTGGTCGCCCAACTGATGCTGGACAATTTGGTATAAATATATTTACAAACATATACTGTAAATGTATATATACTTAAATTTCAGGCTTCAAACTTTGGAAACCTATGCTAGCACACAGGTCTAAAAGTTATTCACCAATGTTAGCCTTGATGACACATGGCGCATCAGGAGTCAATGTTCACTTAACAATGAGTAGGGGGAGAGCAGGAATTCAATATACACTGACTGGCCAAAAATAAAAGTCGCCAACCAAAAAAAAAGGTCACACACTAATATTTAGTTGGACCTCCTTTAGCTTTGATTATGGCACGTATTCGCTGTGGCATTGTTTCGATAAGCTTCTGCAATGTCACAAGATCTTGTATTGATGATGGTAGAGTCGGACCACTGCGCAAAGCTTTCTCCAGGACATCCCAAAGATTCTCAATGGAGTTAAGGTCTGGACTTGTGGTGGCCAATCCATGTGTGAAAATGATGTCTCATGCTCCCTGAACCACTCTTTTTTGGGCAAGGCAGTGTGTGTATATATAAATATATATATATATACCTTACCTATCCTATGCTACTAGTGCTACTAGTCATGCTTGAAAAGTTACTCACCTCTGCAA